CTGGGTCATTGTTCAAGAGGTTTCTCCAGCTGGTTTGTAGGCTTTTGCTGCTGCTGCTACAAGTACTGGGAGGCAATAGGTTTGCCACTGCAGCATCTTGCCAGAGGCCTGGTATCAGAGAAGCTTCTTTTGCTTCCCTCTTCCTTCCTCAAAGTTTGGTATAAATCAAAGAACAAAAAAAATTGAGGTCACTGGCAAAAGAGTTTGAAATTTTGAATAAAGTTTATTAAACACCATTAGTCTACACTGCACAGTTAATGAAACAGCAAAGCTCCACTCTCTTAGAAGAGTGATGATTGATCATGGATCAGAAAAGAAGTTCAGTGTCCCCTAACCCAATGTGAGCCTGATAGATGATTCATTAACACCTCATGTCAGAAGCAGAAAGGGGCAAGAAGTGCAGCCTGGCCTAAAGGGCTTCCCTACCCTCCACCCCCACCTCCATCCCCCTCTGTACTCTCCACAATGCAATTTTCTTGGAGTTACTAGATTATAGAGGAAAATGTGATGCTCTTGGTAAAGAGGGCTTCTAGATTTTTTATATTTTCTGGAAAAGAAAATACTTTTTCTTTTCCAGAAAATATCAGATGGTAGGATTAATGTCTGAGATAGCCTACCCAATTAGCCTCCTGCTAGGGTAAATGCTGATTATCAACACACATATACCACTTCTATTGTTGGAGTTTGCTAACACTGAAGAGAAAATGAATCAGATTTTAATTATGAGAACAATGCTGTGCGAGTGGAAATGAGAAACAACAACAAGACCAAAGAACAGAAGGAGGGAAAGAAGGATAAGGGAGAAAAAGAGGAGGAGGAGGAGGAGGAGGAGGAGGAGGAGGAGGAGGAGGAGGAGGAGGAGGAAGAGAATAGGGGGAGGAAGAGAAAAATAAGAAGGAGGAGGAGGAGGAGGAAGAGAAGAAGAAGGAGAAGGAGGAGGAGGAGGAGGAGGAGGAGGAGGAGGAGGAGGAGGAAGAGGAAGAGGAAGAGGAGGAGGAGGAGGAGAAGGGGGAGAAGGAGAAGGAGAAGGAGAAGGAGAAGGAGAAGGAGAAGGAGAAGGAGAAGGAGAAGGAGAAGGAGAAGGAGAAGGAGAAGAAGGAGAAGGAGAAGGAGGAGAAGGAGAAGGAGGAGAAGGAGAAGGAGAAAAAGAAGGAGGAGGAGGAGGAGGAGAAGGAGAAGGAGAAGGAGAAGGAGAAGGAGAAGGAGAAGGAGAAGGAGAAGAAGGAGAAGAGGAGGAACATAATTTAGTATACCAGCTGCATAACATAGTAATGACAACTAGCTCAATATTTTTCCCCACAGAACTGAATTTAGGGGCAGCGAATCAACCCATTAATTTTATATTGTGTAGCTATACAATTTTGCCACACATTTTCTTAATGGATATAGTGAAGCTTCTCTAAGCAAGCAGTTCATTACGTTACTGAGTAGTCCTACGCAGTGATCCACTTTGGTCCTCCTACCTGCCGAATCATGCAGGTGAATTTTATCATGTTTGTTGAGAAGTATGTGAGGGTTTTACCTTCATAGCTAAATTAATTTTGCCTTCAAAAATGCTTTCCAACTTTACACTCCAACTTCCACCTCCGGGATTCAAATTCAAATGAAACAAAATCTGAATTAGAAACCTTTGGGAAAGATACAATAGAACAGATATCTTTCCAATTTAGACACAATCCAATGCATTTAATGATGTAATGTCCAAATTAAAACCCATCCATTTGAAAATTCAACAAAACACATTTTAGAAAATGGTTTCTAATTTAGAAAATTGGTTATTGACTGAAGATTTGAATCTTTTTATGTCATTATTTGGAAAAAAGGCATCCCAGCCTCAAGTCTTTTAACAGCTAATAACAGCTAATCTGCTTTCCCAATTATATCATCCAAATATAAAAGGACCAATATTTTCCCAATGAGATTATTAAATAATTAACAGACTAAAGGCTGGCTAACAACAAGCTTATGGCTAAATTCTACCCTGAGGACCACACTAGTAAACCCTTTTCAAAGTAATCCTACCTACCAAACTTAGCAATATGCCAAAACCACTAACAAACCCAAAGTCAATTAAATATACAAAGCCAAGTCAACATCATAACACAAACCTGTCAAATTCTCTGTGGTTGGGGTTTGGATAACTAATGAAGCCATAGTGGTGACATTACCTGGGTCACTATGCAAGGCTGAGATCATTCTGTGTACTTGCTTAGGTGGAGCTACTCATTGTTCTGTTCATTATCCTACCTCCATGTGCTTACTGAGATGTATCTCACAAAGCCTCCATCAAGGTCTCAAGGCAGGATCTCTCACTGCCAGCCACATGTCTTGCATCCCTCCCACAAACTGGTACACTGAAGAGATTTACTTGACAAACTGTCTCAATCCCTCAAATAGCTGCACATCTAGGACACACATCACCATTTATAATGTGATGAAAGAGTGCCGAGAAAACAGCAATAATCCTTAATCCTGAAATGGAAAGATATCTCATCTCCATGCCTAATTGGTTTCTAAGTTGCTTTACAAATGGGTATACGAAATAATCTCCTGGTGATCCTGAGCTCAACTGTCAGATTTGATCATTGTGATGCTGACTTGGCACACGCTACCCTCAGCCACCAGAGATGACATCAGGAAGCAGGATTCTCTGCTACCTCCCTGTGGTATGTAAAGTAGACATAGCAACTTACTGAAACTAGAGCTACAAGTTTCACTTACATGAGACAATATGCTTGCTTGCCTGGGAAATTGCCCCTTGCATTGTAATATCTAGTTTCTGGTGGTTTAATTTCTAGTAAAATCTGTTCCTAAATCCATGATCGTCTCAGAATGTGATGTGGGTTGAACTTGTAAGGCAAGCCAGTGGGCTTCATTCATAGGGTGAGGCAAAAGTAAGGTTAAAGTCATGAGTACATAAAATTTAGAGTTTATTCTTGTATCATTATTTATTAATTATTGTATTTTCCATATGAACAACTGTAAACCTAATTTTGCCCCACTCTGTATAATAATAGTCATACCTTCTAGCCATTAAAAGCAGATAACTTGGATTAATGCAAAAGCCATCAGCCTAATTTGTATATATCACACTCACCTTGGGTGATTGGAGTATTTCATATTATTATTTTCCTAATTTAAGAGACTCAGAAAAGATTCTCTGAGGTTTCATTTATCTCTGTGTGTCTGCATGTGGTAGTATTGTTGCTGAGACTGTGAACATAAAGCTCAACCACACTGGGAGCAAAAAAAGTGCTGAGTTCAGCTACTGGGACATTCCCAGCAGTCATTTTAACAATGTGGCCTCAGCCATTGGAGTAAATTGTTACAACCTTATTATACAACAAAGGACCTTAAATTCAATGATGACCAGAAAAGAGCTTAGGTCTGGTTCTTTTGCAACTGTGGTGATATCTAACCTTGACAATAAGGGTGCAGAGTGATCCTTTGCTGTTCTAATCACAAACTTCCATGAGTTGGTTTAAAATTCATATAAGTTTTCATATTTCATGTGGGTATATCTATTATTTAACTTGTCATTAACAGTGAACAGACTTCAATAACTCAGCAAATAATAGACAGTAACTTGCACATGTAGGGAATTCTTCTGGTGAGCTGAAATACCAAAGATGATATTTACATTGTAATGTTTAGGGCCATAAAATGGATGTACATGGTCATAAGGGGTGGGGATAATTGTAACTGATCTAGAAATGTTCCAATTGGGTAAACTGTTCCTAATCTTCTAATCTTCAGGATTTTTTTTTAAATCCTAGGTTAAAGCATTGCCTCAAGACTAATTTTTTTTTTTTGTTAAAAGGCGAGCTCTACTACTTAGAAAATGTGGACCTATCTTTGGAATTTAAATGGAAATGATTCATATTCATAGAGACTTTAATAAAATCAGTGATTATATTTCAGTTAAAATCTAATGAGCTTTCCAAAAAGAAAAAGAAAATAAATAGAATAGAAAAAAAGAAGAAACAGAAAAGATACCCTGTATGTAAAGATTGGGGATAGTAATTGACAAAGTCCATATTTTAAAGCCACTAGAAAGCAAAATGTATATTATTATTTCTAGGTAGTGACAACTTGACCTTTACTTCTAGAGATTTGAGCACAATGCAATAAAAAAAAATCCTGACAATTTTGGACCTATCTACTAGCATTTTGGCTACTAGGGAGTGCACAAAACTAACCTCCAAAAGGAGAGCTTTACACAAAGAGAATTCAAGGTGAATATTTACATTTCAAATCATGGAGTTCAAAAAGATTTATGCTAGCTGATGCTTTAAAGTTGTCCAAACAAATTTTGCCACTGCTGATTATTAAAAATTGTAAATTAGGGAATCAGAGAGTGAGATGCTAACAAAAATTGTCTTCTGGTGTTTGACATAGTATTGTTTTAAGAGTGACATTGCTATACTAATTTATTTTCCTAATGGTTGATTTCATGATATTGCTACATTTAAGTAGTGGATTTTGACAATGAAAACTCTCACCTGAAGATCAAGTTTATAGGAACCACAAACATTTAACAGTGGATTTTAAAATACATTATTTTCTGGACATAAGAATATAGTTTGGAAAATGCCTATTGCCGAAAACTTGAATACTTGCTGATCATTTGTGTTTAAGTTCATATATGTATATATGATTTCATTTCTCAGGAACCTCTTATTATAGCAAGTATTTTTCATCCTTTGTTTTGGGATGTGTGGATTGTGTAATTTCATCCAGCACAAAAGGATGGTAGGATCTACTAAATGCATACAAAATACTAAAAAAAAGAAAAAAAGAAAGACTAAGTAATAAAACATACACTGTTCTCAAGTTGTAGTGTCCACTTACAATAATTTCTGTTTTTCACAGATATCAAGAAAAGCACAAAAACAAACATAAAGAGAACTTTCCAAATGAGTGGAGTTCCACCAGTAATCATTAATACTCTGGTAGAGGTAGAGTGATGGATGGTAATTCTGGAGATTGGGGAGCACCCACTACAACAAATGGGCATCAATACGTAGCCAACACAGTCCCTGGCGAACGTAGCGGACAAGATTGGTCATGCTGCTGTGCTGGGTCAGAGGCCCCATCAATGTATCCAGATCTCCAAAGAATTCTGAAAAGCAGAGCATATCTTGGTTTAAATGAAATCATGAAAATATACACCAGATTGCTTAAACTGACTTCATGCAACAACACAACCATGTGGACATAGGAAAATTTATTCATTGTTCATTCATTCATCAAAAATTTATAGAGTACCTACTAGGGGACTAAAGCCCCATATGTATATTAAGTACTATTATTTTGAATTTTAGTTAGATCCAAAATCTCTGCAACATAATGTTTGTGTTATTGTGATTAATAAAACACAAATTCATTTAAATCTGCTAATTTGTAGTAATATTTTCTCAGACAGTAATTATAAAAGTACATTACAATCCTGTGGAGTTTTGTGAAACACACACATACACACACACACACACACACACACACACACACACACGTCACAATATGTATATATTATATATAAATTTATTTGCCTATATACTGAATGGCCAGATTATTATGATCTCTGAACACATAATAATCTGGCCACTCAGTGTATATCCTATATAATAAAAGGCTAATAGGTAAATTAAAGGCAGGGGCACACGAAGGTCTCTGAGGACCCCATTATTAATATTTATCTCTAGATTGGCAGTCTAGCCTATCAGTTAAGTGTTCAGACTCTGGAATTGAACAGTAGATTCTTAATCCCAACATTAAGAACTGTGATATCATGGGTAAATCTTTTAATCTCAGAGTCTCAGTTTCTTCGTCTATGACATGGGGATAAAGCAAATAGTGCAGTTACAAGCTTTAGAAATTGCTACACAAACATATATAACCAATATTTGTAAATAGTACCAGAAGTCAATGTATATAGCTGAATTGAGGGTTAAAGTCGCAAATTATGAAATATATTAGATCTAGTAATAATTAATGTCGTTTTCTAATACTTTTTTAAATCAAATTTATTTAAACAATACAACAAAATTTAATCAACAATATAGTTGCCGTTGTTTTCTACTACTTGTGCCCAACGCTCAGGAAGCATTTTAATCCCTCTGTTGTAAAATTCTTGTGATTTTGATGCAAAAAATTCGGTCAATGCATTTTTGAGGCATTCTTCATTATTAAATTTTTTTCCAAGAAGAAAGTTTTGCAAAGAACGAAACAAATGGTAATCAGAAGGGGCAATATCAGGAGAATATGCAGGTTGAGGGAGAACTTCCCATTCCAACTGGCGCAGTTTTTCAGCAGTGATTCTTGCAGTATGTGGTCGTGCGTTATCGTAGTGAAGAATTACGCCCTTCCGATTAATCAGTGCGGGTTCATTTTCTCTTAAAGCTTGGGCTAACCTTTCCAATTGGGCACTATACACTGCACTTGTAATGGTTTGGTTAGATGGTAAAAGTTCATAATGAAGAATTCCTTTAAAATTCCACCAAACACACATCACTTTTTTTCGCATGCAAGTCAGGTTTTGGAGTGGGCTGCGGAGCCTCATTTTTGTCCAACCATTGAGGCCACCTTTTCAAATTAACATACAGCACCCATTTTTCATCTCGGGTAACAATTTGCTCTAAAAACGGCAAACGGTTTTGACGAGAGAGGAGCGAACTGCAAATTGTGACTCTTTGATTACGGTTGTTGTCGGTCAACTCATGAGGAACCCTTTTTCCAAACTTTTGGACTTTGCCAAGTGTACGCAATTGATTGGAAATTGTTTTTTGTGAACAATTTAAAGTTGTCGCAAGCTCTTGTTGGGTAATTTGAGGATTTTGCACCAAAAGAGCTTGAAGAGCTTCTTGATCAAAATTGGACACATGGCCTCGACCACTCTTGTCATCTAACGAAAAATTTCCCTCGCAAAATTTCTCAAACCAACGCTGGCATTTTCTGGCACTAACTGCATCTTGACCAAGAGCACTATAGATGTTTTTGCAGCCTCACTTGCTTTTCTTCCTAATTGGAACTCGTAAAGCATGCAGTGCCGAATATGCTCTTCATCCGCCATCTTCTTAGCCCTAGTTTTGCAACAAAAACCAAACCAAACACAAACTTTTTCAAGCAAAACTTGTTAATTGCACTTCACATGTTCTGTATATACCACATGTTTGAAGGTTATGTCAATACAAGTCAACGCCAAGCAAGATTTTAAACAAATGTTTAAAAACGACATTAATTATTACTAGACCCAATACTTTGATAGCTACAGAATCATTGAATTATATAGATATATAATAATATAGAGTAAGAAAAGATAATTAATATTTGTAGGATTTCTAACTTGCATCTGATATTTATGCTAGTTGTTTCACACATATTATTTCATTCAACCCATCTCTATTATCTTTTTGGATATTATTATCATCATCATAATTATCATCATCATCTTATTATTATTTCCTTTATAGAAATGGAAGCTGGGAAGTAACTCACAGATTTAAATAACTTGCCTGAGGTCCCCCAGCCCCAGGCATGCATAAATGATCAAAATCTGCAACCTTCCTACTCTACTAGAACTGTTTCTGCACATATTCAGCAATAGCAATAAAGATGCAGCATGGAGGAGGGCTGAGAAGGCTGAACCTCGTTTCATAATCAGACACTGGAGAGTACAGTCCCAGAGATTAGAGCAGCAGCTTTTTCAGACAGAAGAAATGTAGACCAGAACCCTGGGGCCAGAGTAGAAAGGAAAGGAGAACTACCTGGGCTTTGAGGAATCTGGGGCTTTAGAGAAAAATTTGGGCTAGGAAGTCCAGTAAATCCTTTGGAATCAAACTCAAGAGAACTTCCATCTAAATCTAGGTGGCCTGCAACCTCAACCTAAATACAGGAAAATCCTATCACTCACTGCCCTGTTGGAGACCTAGTAGCACCCAAGTACACTCCATGTAGCTTTCACCATATCATACACCATCAGCAGCCATTGGACCATGCAGAATACAAATTCATGCCTCCCTATTCCTGACCAGACAGTTCTACTGCTCCAAATTGCTAGTCATCTCTTTTCAGTCTGATTCCAAAAAGCCCATAGCTGTCCCCATCTTGACTGGTGTTGGGTTGTCTATGGTTCCTGAGCCAAAATCAGAAAAGTCAAATGAATGGCCAGGGCATAAGCACTCTTTATTTATATTTTCCATGTTTACTAACATAGTGAGGCTTCATTGTGAACCTATTTGACAGCTAGAGTCATAGATGGCAGCATGAGTCATCAAAGTTCACTTATCCTCTGGTAAAGCATGATATTCCTTGCATTTGTTTTGTAGAAAACCTCATATGTTACCATGAACAGAACTTTTAGCTATACATGTGTTAAAAATACTAGCTGAGCCTTGGCCCTTGCTTATAAATTCAAGCTACATTATCATGTACTCATTTGAGCTACCAGTTATAATGAAGGTAGAAGGCCTTAGTTCAATCTCACCCCCACCTCTGTCTCCCAGAAAGATTAAAGTTGACAACAGAAGCCAACAGGATCATAATGAACTTGAGAATCATTCTCTTTTTGCCCAATTCTCTGTGTTTATCCTTACATTGAGTGAAAATCTGAAATAGTCATTTGCTAATACATCACAGTTCAGGTTAGTTTAAGCTTTATAAAAGATACTTAAATCTCAGACTTTTTCACTTTCTAAAAATAAAATAAAATAAAATAAAATAAAATAAAATAAAATAAAATAGGTCATTCACTCTTCTCTATCTCAGCCCTAAAAATCAGAGACATAAAGATAAGGCTACCAGGAAAATTCAAGCCCTTCAAAGCACAGTTGATTTCACCATGGTTTGTGAACAATGGGTAGAGCAGATGAGCATACCTTTATTCTCTCTTGTCAGTTTGTCGGCCATGTCCCAGTGTTCATAGCCCCGTAACACATTGCTGGTGATGTTGACATGGCTGGCAGCCATATGATGAATGCGCTGGGGAATGGTGACTGGGCCATTGTTATAATTCCCCATTGCATCAATGGGAGAGGCATTGTTGAGACACATTGGAGATGAATTGTTCCTGGGGAAGGGGAAGAGACAGATTTTTGTTAGTCTAGTTGAGAAGAGTGACAATGGGGTCTAGACCTCCCTCATCACACAGGGACCTTCTCAGAACACCATTTGCCATAGTGAGGTTTAGCATGGTGAACGTATATGAAGCCCAAGTATAGTGGAGCTTGTTCCCACATTCCACTGACTCTTGTCAAATGACATCTTATATTTTTGCCAACACAGTAAGTTTCTCCAGATGCTCCAATATAAAGAAAGCTTATTATCTCCCAATTCCTTCCTCTTCTTAGAAACCCACACAGGGCTATAGTGCCAGGCTATCGCATGAGCCCTTTTCCTTTTCTAATGTTAAATAGTGAAGTCACACTGCCTTTAACGTGTGTTGCTACATTAATTTTTAAATATAGAAAGAGCTGATAAATATTTCTCTGGCATTAATTCTACCCACAAGTGCATTTCTTGGTTTGAATATATATAACTGGGGTTGTGATGTTTTATAGAAAATAAAAAAAAGCTCAGAGCTATGATGATTTCTCTACCTGCTGCCACATGGCTATTGGCATTTAGAAAACAATATTGGTCTATTATCGAAGTGTTTTGTGGAGAACACAATAACTGGTTGCTACAAATGCAGCCACTACAAGGAGTAATTTTTTTAAAGTCTGCCAAGGAGCAGTATTAGGGAAGCTGGAAAAAGTAAGATTCTGAAGATCTCTTTAGGATTCTTTAAGACTGCTACAAGGATGGCTGTTAATTGCTGCTTATTCACCTGTATACTGGTTTATAAAGAGAAATCTTTGGCATTCCTACTTTGGGCATTACACATATTTGGAGATAATTATTATTAGTTATTTAATGTTAGTGACATGGAGTTACCTGCTGGCTGCATATTGCATAGGAGGGGCTGACATTAGGTTGCTCTGCTGCTGACTTCTTTGGGGATAGTCCCAAAGGTATGGGTGCCTTCCTGTGCCCATAAGCGAGGTCCATGTTCACCGCTGGGCTCCCTACACTCATTCACCCAGACTGTGAAAGACTGCCCAGTGAAATGCAGCACATTTGAACATTTGAGTGGTTGAGTGAAACAAGTAGGGAAAAGCTGTAATTGAGACTTCCTAAGTCTGCCTATTTGAAAGGAACCTTCTCCTCATTCTTCCAAACACTGTCCTTTCCCAAATCAAGGATCCCTGTCTCATTCCCTCTCCCCTTTACCAGCCACTGCTATTGGCAACTCTAGATTTTCAGAGAGGCTGTGTTATTCAGAGCTAACCCTACTCATAGAACCGATGTGCACCCAAAGAGGCACATATTTAAAGGATCTGGGGGGAAAGGAAATCACAAGGTACCAAAATGCCAAAGTACTGCTGACTCAATCTAGAAGCAATTCCAACTGTTATACTTGCCTTAAGATTCATGCAGGCTGTGCCTTTAGCCACATGAGAGTTTTGGTCCATTTCTGCAAACGGATTATATCTTCTGGTACATTCTAGTATGAGGGGGAAAGTGGATCCTTACCTGTTCTGAACTTGTCTTATGTAAGAGTGTGAAGGTTTTTCTGCTCCGTTTATAATTTATAAGATGTTTTGATACTTTTTGAAAGATTTATTCTCAACAGAGGGGTGTGGTGGAGAGAGGTCCAAGCTAAGGGACTTAGGCACAGAAGGGTCAGCTAATAACATACACAGAAAAGCAGAGAATTCTGGATTTCTTTGTCACGGCAGGTTACAAATGTTATTGTCAAGCCTTTTCCCCTAGTGTTGGCTATTAACTCTTAAATGTCAATTTAAGGCAAGAATGGAATATGTCCTCATTTGTAATTTCTAGAGAAAATTGCAAATCTGCCAGATATCACAAATGTTGAAAGGGAACCGTATATCCTTGGAAAGTACTGGAATCCCAGGAGACCTAAATCCTAACCCCATGAATTGCTGTATTCTCCTGAGTACATCACTTTCCTTCCTAGGGCTTTTTGTCTACTGGAAGAACAGGTTAGACTCAGTGATTTCAAATAATGTCCAGAAGTTACAAAGGGGAAACAAATCACCTCTGCTGACCTTGTACAACTTGAAAAGGCCTTTTTAGTTTATAAATATGGAAGTGTTTTTGAGGGGCATTCTTTGCCTTCCCCTTCTTATTTCCTTACTTTGAAGTAATGAGTAGTGGAGTCGCGCAGAGCTAGGGCATTGATTTGCTTTCAATCATTATTGATCTCACACGAAGTTCCCTGAGCTGACTTTCTCATGAGCATGTCTGTACATTGCATTGTAATAATGAAATGAAAAATGATAATGTTTCTAAGAAATCATGACTCTGGCTAAAAGATGGTTGATACAGTACTCATCTTGTTATGACTCCAATTCCAACTTGGCTCTCCCCACTGCTTGGCATTCCTCATTCTATTTACTTTCTGTGGGTCTGTTTGCAGATCTTGTCCTTTTTCTTCACACATCCATGGCATGTAAAAATGAACATGCCCAGACAAGCACATGCTTCTCACCACTTCCACCACTAGTGCCCTGGTCCAACCCACCATCCTCTCTGTTACACTTACCCCCTTGATGTTATTTGGACTCAGTAGGCATTTCCCCACTTAAGAGGTGGTTGCTGTTCCTCTGCTTGAATGCATTTCCCTCAGGTATCTGCAGGGCTCACTCTCCCATTGTTCTCCACTAACATACTTATTAAAAATTGTCCTACTGTTCCCTGCCCCATCCACAGAAGCTCTTATTATCCCATTCCTTATTTCTATTTTCTCACTGAAATTAATCATCATCTAGCATACTGCATATTTTTTTACTGTCTTTCCTCCATCAGGCTGTAACTCTAACAAGGGCATGAATTTTTGTCTATTTCTGATTATCCTATGCTTTGTATAAAACTATCTGTATTTAATTAATACCAGTAGAGTAAATAAACAAATTATCTTCCAGCTATCCCTCTATTCCTTACTTAATATCCACTACCTATAAGGTGCCCTGAGGAGGGCAGAAGAATTCATGTAGCACAAGGATAGAGAATATTTAAAGGGTATAGCAGGTGCTTCATGTGTAATCAGCACACAATGTTTGGTGAATAAATGGCCCTTAATAATATAATAGAAGAGCAGAATCCATTAAGTTCTAGCAATCTATTGTAACAAATCAAGAGCTGTGGGAGTTCTAGGAGCAAAATTGTTTATGATTTCCAGCTAAAAACGGTAATGATGACAACAAAAATGGAGGCAGCCACCATTTTATAAAGTTATTATGTAGCAAGCATGGTGCTCTAGGCTTTATTAATAGCATCTCCAAGTTTCAAGATAACTCTATAGGTGAGTTTCTGTCACCACTGTTTAACAGATGACAAAATGGCATAGAGAAGTGCATTTCCTTTCTGAGGATCACACAGAAAAATCATTCAAAGGACCAAAGTTTGAAAGCATGTCTGTTTTGAATGATGGTTGCCAATGGGGAGGGCATTTGGGAGACTGGGTGAAAAAAAGATAAAGGGATTAAGAAATACATATCAGAATTTACAAAATAGTCACCAGGAAATAAAGCACAACATAGGAAATATAGTCAATGATATTGTAATCACTATGTATGTTGCCAGGAGGTTACTGGAACTATCGGGGTAATACTTTGTAAAGTACATGATTGTCTAACCACAATGCTGGACACCTGAAACTAATATAAAATAATATCAAAAATAAACTGTAATTGAAAGATTTTTAGGAAACAGGTCTGTTTTTCTCAAAGTCTACCTTCCTTCAATTCTACCATGTCACTTAAAAGTCTTATTCTTCACTGTACAAAATATTTCACTTGATAAAGCTGTCCACCTCTACCCTCACCTGATGTCCATATTGGCTTATTTTCACTGCTCTCCCAGGTTCATGGGTATCTCACTCATGTTCATAGAGGCACAGCCCTCCCATGTTTTGTTTAATGTGGATGTTTTCTCCAGTGAGCAGCAGACTCCTCAAAATCCTTTTACTGGCCCATATCTCAAGCAAGTAGACATCCATTCTCTTCTAACCCTTTCAATGCCACACCCATAGCCACCTGTCTACTGAAACAGCTCCTGTAAAGGCCTCAACTGGCCTCCTCTCACAATTCCATAACATTCCTACATCTCTTTATTTTTATTCTCTCTATGTGACTTTTAAAATTGTTGCCCAGCTCTTTAAACTGTCCATAACATGACATCCATGACTCTGCATCAGGGGTTGGAAAATCTGGCCTATTATTTGTTTCTGCATGGCCTATGGGCTACAAATGGTTTGAGAAGATGAACATTTGCAATCAATTTGATGAGAGGGGAACACTAACTTTGAATCTCAATTAGGTTAATTTTTTTTTCTTAAATTCCATTCTTATCCTTAGAAGACTCGTATTATAAAAGTTGTACTTAATTATTATATTTTGAATTTCACCATTACATTTTTAAGAAATGTATTTTTTCTTTTATATTCTTTCTATATAATAGTCCCAGTTTTCTCATTTAGCTGGTAAATCCCCAAATAGTACAATTTGGCTATTTACAGAAAACCTTTGTCAACTTCTCCTCTATACCAAGCTGATTTTTCTTCTTCTTCCAACTGATTTATTGGCCTTTCTTCTCCTATAGCCCTCAAGGTCAGAAGTGCTGCTTCTGGAAGGTGCTATGAGAGGTGCTGTGTGGGAGCAGCTATCCTCATTTACTAGGGAAATCAGTTTTTTCTTGCAGATAAGAAGCCCTCCTTAGCCAAAGAGGCCCAAGCTCTTTTTTTCTTAGGCTTCCAAAGAAATTTGTTCATACCTGTCACGTCCTTTTACTGGACTGTGCACTTCTGGAGTGCAGAAATCACATTGAATTCAGCTTGATCCTCAGCCCCTCAAAAGGAAATGCACCTGAAGTGTTTGTTGAATAGACAGGATACAACCTTTGAATGAATATTTTGAGTTCCCTAATTCATTACCTCTATGGCCTACCAAAAGGAACATGCTTTCTTCAGATAGAAGCTGCTTAAAAATGATTACAGGTTTTTAATAGACTTTATAAGCTTAGAATATTTTTCAGTTTTTTTCATTTCAGATTATATATATATATATATATATATATATATATATATATATATATAGGCCCAGTCCATGAAAACTCATGCACTGGAGAGGAGGGGGGTCCCTCAGCCTCGCCTGCCCCTTCTCACAGTCTGGTAGCCCTCAGGGGCAGGAAGCAACCCAGAGATCAGGGAAAGGTGATGCCCCAACTCACCTCTGCTGCTGCCACTGCCAGCAGCACAAGTCTTGGCTGGATCTGGTTACCTGAGCCTCAGGGAGCCTTGAGCGGCTGGGCAGCTACCATCCTAGGCTTGCCTGCACCTCAGGCTGGTCCTGGGAAACCGGGAGGGTGAGGTGACAGGGGGACTCTGGAGGCAGGTGTGCAGAGTGACTGGGCCTGCCTGAGGCCCTGGGCAGGGCTGAGGGAACTGGGAGTCACCATCTTATGGCTGTGGGTGCTGCCACCTTTGAGGGCAAGCAGTCAATTAGCATATTCTCTCCTTATTGGCTCTGGGTGCTGCCATCTTTGCCACAGTATGAGGGTCAATTAGCATATTCCCTCTTTATTATATAGGATTTGCAGTGATTCTTAATGGTTGCTTACCCAAACTTTCCCTTGATTTACTCTGTGCTCAGAGAAAATACTGGGCCTTTATATGCTATTTTTATTTTCTAAACTTGCAGAGAGAAGTGTTCTTTCATTTTTGTTTGTCAATATGAGAATAAGATCTAATTCAACAATTTAAATGGTACTGCCTTTCAATATGGTAATTGAGTTAATGCATAGTTTTTAATAGATCTGTTCCCACACTCTGAAAGTCTTTATGATCTTAGAGTTTAACACCCCACTGCTTTGGGAGTTTGCTTTGTATCCTATATAATAATGAGGTAATATGCAAATTAACCCTCACACCATCATAAGATGGCTGCCTATGACCAGGCTGGCAGGAGGTTAGTGAGGAATGACCAAATGACTGAACAGCAGGCTGTGTAGGGCATCTAGGCCAGCAGGGGGGGTGTTTAGGGGCAACCAGGCCAGCAGGGGGGTGCAGTTAGGGGTTACCAGGCCAGGAGAGGGGGGTAGTTGGGGTGATTAGGCTGGCAGGGGGGCAGTGAAGGGCAACTAGGACAAGGGGGGGGGGGCTTTGGAGGCCACCAGGCCATTGGGAGAGCAGTTAGGGGTGATGAGGCTGCCACATAGAGGCAGTGAGTAGCAATCAGGTTGGCAGTTAGGGGTGACCAGGCAGGCAGGCAGATTAGTGATTAGGTGCCAGCAGTCCAGGATTGTGAGAGGGATGTCTGACTGTCAGTTTAAGCTCAATCCTCAGCAGTCGGACATCCCCTGATGAATTCTGGATTGGAGAGAGTGCAGGCTGGGCTGAGGGGACCCCCACCATGCACAAATTTTGTGCACCAAACCTCTAGTATATTTATAAAGTGGCAGAGGAGACTATTTTACTCTCAAAAAAAGTGTTTTGGTCAGAGATGCAAGACTTTTGAAATGATGGAAATAAAAAAATAAGCACTTTATAAATGTTTGTGTCCATAGTCACCTATTTTCCCTTCTCACTACTAGCTTGGGGTGGTAAAGGTGGTATCAACATCAAAGTATAATTTAATGCTCAAGCAAGTAAGTACAAACACATAGCCAATTCATTGCTGAGCCAAAATTAAGACTCAAAGTCTCTCTCTTGGAAGGCATATAGCTCTTCAGATGGGCCAGGAAGTCATCAGCCCCAGCCTTTTTATTTTAGAGATAGAGAAAAAACCTATAGAAAAAAAGGGGTTCACTTAGCTTACCTTGGAATTTAAGAGCAGCATCAGGACCTGGTCAACGGATTTCCAGACATCTACCCTACTACTGGAAGGCTGAGCTGCCCCAAGCACATAGAGCTCTAAATATGGCCACTAGAGTAGATGAGTTCACTGAGCCTTAAATCAACATTACAGTATATGCATTTATATTTTAGGTCAGGGTATTTTAATAATAATATAAAAATCATAATGAAGGCTCAGATAATTGGCTGGCTAAGTGCCTTCAGATTTTTAGCACTATAATGCATTTGATTTTATTAAACAGTACTTACCTTATATCAATAAATATTTCATCGGTTTTTCCTTACTGAGCGAATTATTGAAAAATCACTACATTAAAGTTAACTTTTACCCTGCCTCCCTGAAATGGCTTGGTGTTTGCCATCTCATTAACAGACATTTTTAAGGCCATAATATAGCTTAAAGATCAAATAGTTAAAGAAATTTCGAATCAGATCATGTTAACCTTTTCTGTTTTGGAATTAACTAAAATTCGATTAGAATTTTGTGTGTACAAAAATTACTATATTCTCAAAATTTACCTTTCTTCTGAGTTGTCAATACAAAATATTTGGGGTCTATTATATCATTGATTTTCAGAAAAAGCAATTTTCATAAGATACTTACTTTCCATTGCCTACCCATGAAGATGGTATCTGAGTGACTTTTGAAGCATTTTGCTAAAAGAGAGAAAGAGAGGGAAATAAGGACATCTATTTGTGTTTTATTAATTCACAAACAGATGGAAGTGTGATTTAGAGTACATTAATATTGATTGCAGCATTTCAGGATTCCTCTTGTTTTGTTAGCAGAGCTAGGATATATGTGCACATCAGCTCACCATGACCAACAAACACTCGATGAAAATAGCTGGTTAGGATAATTAGTGGCCTACAATCAGGAACATGAAAGTCACTTGATGAAAGATCTTATATAATAAAAGGCCCAGTGAAATCAGACTCAGTTCTCCAAGAAGTGGTTTAATTATCTTCATCTGAAATTTATTTTGCAAAACAAGCTTTTCAGAGTACAGGAAAGCTTTTCACTTTTCCCTCCAATTGCAAACATTTTCCCTGGGATTCAAAGTGGGCTGTGATTTCTGATATACCAAGAAGTTGTTAGGACCAAGCAGTGGTTTGTAGTTTGTTTTTTTTTGTTTGTTTGTTTTTTTGTTTTTTTTGTTTGTTTGTTTGTTTGTTTGTGTGTGTGTGTGTGTGTGTTTGTGTGTGTGTGTTTGTGAATTGATTTGCTATCTTTACATGCCAATCCTCATGACTGTTTCCAGAATTTAGCAATGTAATTGGTCCATGGTTGCATTGCAATGGAATGCTCAGTATTCTATTTTCATCTGATAGATTTGGGCTAGGTTAAAGAATCAGTCTGCTATATTTTTGTGGCCAACCACTTGTAGAGTACAGGAAAAAATGATACTCAACATCACTGTAATAAGACAGTGACCAGGCTCATTATAATGACCAGGTTGGAGCCCATGTAGCACAGGGCCAGAATATTTGTGGCATTGAGCCTGACTCAGGTCTGCCTCTCAGGCCTCATGGCCCAGGTTATGCTCCTCTTCTGCATCTTGGGTTTATGCTCAGCTCCATTTGCAAATGGGGTGCTAGAGAGAGAGAAACAGCACTTTCAAGAGCTCAGTGAGAATGCACCATTCCTCTGGAGCTCAGAGATCCACATCTAAGTCACATTCTGCAAACTCCAACTTTTAATCTCAAAGAAGCTCAATGCTCTGACAGAGGTGTAAATTATTAAATATCTGTTTTGTATTTTGGAATGCCCTGGAAGCTACAGGACAGGCCTTAGAGGACAGATATTAGAGCATTGGCCTTCAAAGTATGATCATAAGACCAGCACCATCAGTTTTACCTGGAAACTTATTAAAATGCCAATTCTCAGACATAGAGTATCAGACACTCTGCTGGATGAGACCTAGTACTCTTGTTTTGTGAGCCCTATAGGGGATTGGGATGCCAAGTCAGGCTTAAGAACCACCTTCCTAGAACATAGGTTGAGACTGTAGAGATATGAGGGATGGGCAGTTGTTATATTTCAACCTGTCCACCTACATAAGCACTAGCTTTATGGCATTATGGATAAACCACATAATAACTAGTGAACCTAATCTTTGTCCAAACCTAGTCAGTGTTATTACATAGCTGGCTGTGCCCTGACACTCACTGGGTTTGGATGATTGATGTAAGGTCATGATTTAACTCATTTAAATTTCAAACTGCTTTGGTGCAATTTAGCCAAATGTTCTCATGTACTTGGCAAATGATAGATTAGATAGATAGATGATAGATAGATGATAGATAGATAGGTATTTTTTTTGAAACCAGACCAATATGAGTCCTGAGCCTCCTCAATTTCACATTATGACCATTTTTTGGGGGGGAAGGACATAAGCAGCACAAGTTCCATTGATGCTCATGCCAGTTATTTCTGGTAGACTGGCCAGGCCTAGCACCAGACTACTAATTGTAGTTGTCATCCAGGCTCATTCCCAAATTTTGGCATTGCATGTTGATATATATAATTTCTTTTCCTTGCAAATTAAACATTCTATCTCCCTATATTGTAGATTTATTTATTTTTTGTTTGTGTTTGTAACCAAAGTAATCAATTGTATTTAACTTCAATCACTGTACTTCAAGGATCCTCATGGCCAATGGACCCAGAGGTTGAGAAATTTCTGAATTAGCTTCTTATTTAACAAAAGAGTGATCATAGCCACAAGCTGTGTTTCATGGTGGGTCCATCATGTAGGGTGGTTCAGAAGATATCATCCCCCTAACTGCAACTGGGAAGCTGCCAAGGGCCATTTGGTTAGTCCAGAGAATAATTTGGGTATTGCACTATTGTTGTACCTTTTTTCCCTGGAATCAAATAAAACAAAAGCTCTCTGCTGAGTCCCAAAGGAGAGGTGGGAGGGCCATGGCCTGCTGGGATAAGGGAAGTTTAGCCTTTGACAGCAATAACCTTGATATTTAATAACATACTTGCCAAATCTTATTAGTGATTACCCAAAAACTATAAATTATAAAAAAAAATAAGGATTACTTTAAAATATTCCATCAAGGATCTAGAGTACTTCATAGCATGGTCCTTCTTCAGTTTAAACATCCGTAAGTAGAGAAGTGATAAACATCTGTAGCTGTAGGGATGAGAAAAGGATTATGTTAATCCCATAACCAGCAAACTATAAAACATGCTGATTCATACCCTTCCTATAGCTACTGAGAAACTTAAGTATTAAAAAACGAAAATAAAAGGGTTGAGCATTAAAATTCCATCTTGATAAGGGTATAAATTAGGAGAATAAATGTTTAGTCAGTGCCTGAAGAAATCCATTAGTTATCCTTTAATAGTTTAATGGCAAACAAAAATAATATCTGGGCTAAGTAGCTTAAAGTTTATCTGGAGTTTTCAAATTGTTCTGCGATATTTCTGCCATTTTCTCTTGGCCTCCATGAGACTTACCATAATACTGCCAGTTTTTTGTCCCCGTCTGAAGCCAAGGGGCCTGCAAAGTTCTTCAGCCTCATTGCATACCTTTGAAGAGAATTTACAAGCTCAAGTGGAATCTATATTATCCTTCAGAAAGTCCCAAAGTCCCATCTTCTAAATGTGTGAGTCTCACATATGCTCTGAGAAGGAAGACTCCCTAGGGCATGTAGGCAAAAGCACAGTTTCTTGAATAAACAAATTATAGTCAAGATTGCCACTGGTATGACTTACAAAAGTTAACTCTGGAGAAGTCAGCTAAATCTGGAGAAGATGGCTAAATCCAGAGCGCATGTTTTCAGACAGAGGTATGGAATTACTGTTGGTTTGGTGTGTATATAAATTCTGTTTCTAGAAATACCTTGCTAAACATTATTGTATTTTCAATGGGAGTTGGACACAAATGTCAGTCTCAGTTGCATTAGTAACAAATGAAGTAAATAATATACAACTGTGTGTGACAGGAGCATGGGGAGACAACAATCACACAGTTAATAATCCTTTTTAATGGCTCAGGTTTGGAATATATTCCTATAGAAAGTGGTATTTTTTAAAAACAAACCAACCAACCAACAAACAAACAAAAACAAAGGCCAATTTCACAGCATTTGATGGCGTAAATCCTTAATTTATGGTGCTTGTATATTTTGTTTTTCCATTTTATTTAATTGTTACTTTCTACACTGGGTTGATCAAAGGTTGAATAATTTCTTTTTTTTTTAGTTGAGCATATTTCATTCTGGGCATTTAGAATCTTGGAAATAAATTAATTGCATAAAATCAGTCTGAGCTTTAATGCAATTTCATAGCTGCTGATGGTGGAATAAGTAGCAGAGTTTAAAGTTGCAGAAGGAAGTTGAAAGAATGCAGGCACTCTGGACTAGTTCTCATTTACAAGAAAGGAATAGAGAACCAGCAAGTATACTGTGCTTGCACCATGAACTCCCCATTTTCAGTAGCCTCCCCATAACTGTGTGGGCTTGCTCCCCAACACTCTGCACCTTCTAGGCAAACTCTATGTTCCACTTATTGCTCCAGTCTGTTCAGTGAACATGTTTCATCAAAAGGACCTATGCATTCACGTGGATCCCTCCTATTGCTGCAATATTAAGCAAAATGATTTTATTATGTAATAAATATGTCTTTTATAATTGGATCACTGAAATGTCAAATTCTTGTGATGTCCCACTTGCTTTCACAAATACATTTCCACTGCAGATTCCCAAGTTCAGAGAAACTATAATTACTTGAATAAAAATGGGGCTCTCTCAGTTCCCAGCATAATATTGGGGCTAGGGAGTAATAAAAATATATTCAATATAATATTACACTACTAAAAACTATGTTTATATTATAATCACCCTTTAATTGCAACCACTTTTGATGTAACTTGATAGTGCAACTTCAATTGGTTAAATAGATCAGAAGACCTAGTTGTTTTAGCCTATTTTATTCCCAACTGAAATGTCTCTAGAAAAAAATTATATACACATACTACATTAAAGGTGATATATTCTATATATAAAAGGATAATATGTAAATAGACTGAATGGCAGAACAACCGAATAACCAATCAAAGCATTAATATGCTAATGATATGCTAAGGCTACTCAACTACTTGTTATGATGTGCACTGATTACCAGGGGGCAGATGCTCTGACTGGTAGATTAGTTTGATGCAGAGTTCTGGCCAATCAGGACTAAGCAAGATGGGCTGGACACACCTTAGAGCCACCCCAAGGTCCCTCCCCAGCTCAAGCATGAACTGGTGGGGTCCCTCAGCCTGCCCTGTACCCTCTCGCAATCCAGGACCCCTCAGGGGATGTGGGAGAGCCCTTTTCAGCCCAATCCTGCAGGTCACTCTCTTTGGGAGGGCCAGATGCAGGGCTCATGGCTAGCAAGCATTGTTGGGGCAGCGCAAGCCTCTCCTGATTAGGACTGATTGGGTGTGAGCCCAAGGCAGGCACAGTGGGGCTGGGATGAGCGGGAGGGGCAGGTAGGAGCTGCAGGCTGCATTGGACTGCAGATTTCGCCCCAATTCCTGCAGGCCATCCAGAGGGAATATATATATATATATATATATATATATATATATATATATATATATAGAGAGAGAGAGAGAGAGAGAGAGAGAGAGAGAGAGAGAGAGAAAGAGAGAGAGAGAAGATACATGTAAAATTGGGGAGTACACAGGATCTTTCTGTATCATTTCTTATGATTGTATGAGTCTAGATTAATTCCAAATGGTTTAGAATATTGACTTTAAAGTGTATTTCCATAAATTGTTTACAATTTTCATGAGGTTCTACTGAAATATACTTCTATAGGGAGTAAACTATCATATAAAGAAAAAGACAAACCTGTACTTAGGAAAAAATATTGTGTAAAACATTAAGGGTAGTGTTTTCTAATGGAAATAAATGTTACTCAATGATTCACATTGCATTTTTGCCAGAAAAGAAAACTGATGTTTTGCTTTTATGTTTTCAGAGAGCATGTATTTTCCTAAGAGAAAATTAATAAGAAAGAAAACTATATAGAAAGGAAAAACATCCATAATTTCACCCCATTACAGCTATGAATTCATTTCCCTTCCAGATTGGTCCACATGCAGAAACATGCCTTTCATGGTCAGAAATGTAATGTGCATATAATTCTGAAGCTTGCTTTTCTTTAACATCAAGTTATAAACATTTTCATATACCTACATAGTCTCCATTGTTGTTGCAATTCACAGACTGCAAAGTGTTCTGTTGTGTGTACTACAATGTCATTAATTATTCTTATTGATTTTTTTAGTTTGCTTCTAATTGTGTGCTATAATTTATGCCAAACAGAACACCATAAAGATAACTTGTACTATTCCTATAATTATTTTCTTCAGCAGAGGAAATTCAAATTTCTAGAAGTTGAGTTATGGCTCAAAATATATAAATACTTATATTAAGGCTTTCCTACTCAATGCCCAATTGTCGTCAATATACAATGATCACTTTTTTTCCTATCATCAGCATAGGACAGGCCTAGTTCAGCAATATTATTTGTGTCAGTGCTAACAACCTGGGATTAACATTTTTACATTTTCTTGTTAATTTAAAAAGTTGCCTTTTAAAAAATGTTTACATTTTGGATGAATAGAAGAGATGAATTTTCTCCATGTTTGTTTATTATTTTCTCTTAATTTTCAATGCTTATCATTTTTTTTGCCAGAATTTTCATCTTACGCACTCTGAAAAGGAAGCTTTGAATAGATACAAAAAAATCAATTTTCCCTTATAAGCTATAGAATGGCAGTGATGGCTTTCACCAATTCATGAAGTTAGAGAGATACTTTACATGCTTATCAGAGCAGAGAAAAGACTAAGATGGCTACCTGGTTTGGCAAGGGAAGGCTAGATCTTTCTTCATGATCTCTTTACTTTTTTTTTTTTTTTTAACTAAATCTTCTTATTCCTGTGAGCATATTTTTTCTTTAGAATAGTTCACATTCTTTGGATATTTTGAAATGCTTTCCTATGATAATGTGTAGGCTAAATTTGTCCAATTGCCTAAAGGTTTAGGTACAAGTATCCTCAGATTTGTAAGCATTTATACAAATATAAACAACAGAGTAAAAACCTAGAAATCAGGCCGGACATTGATTAATCAAGTCAGAGGTGACCAGAATATAAGGGCCTATAAGGTAAAGATCTATTTGCTCAATCAAAAACAATTATTCACTCAGTCCAGCAAATGTTGGTGCTTATCCACCATTCAGAGGTATATTACTTTCCAAATACCTGCAAGTTACTGGAAAACACTAGAATGAATATCATTTATTCTCTTTCCCCTTTCCTTTCCCAGGAATTTTTTGATTACCTACAAATTCTACTCTGTCAAGACCAACAGGCCAAAAATTTTCATTTAAAATACAGATGAAACCAATAATCTGGGCAGTTAATATATGCTCTCCTATTCTCATGTCTGCTCTGCCCCTGCTACCACCTTGTCTGTTTCCCTGAAATTCTACATGCAGGGAAAGTCTACTCCACACCTGTGGCCTTACTTAATGTTGAAAGAGTACTCTCTCTCTTTTTAAATAACCACTGCAGAAAAGTTCTTACAAAATATGGATTATAACACAAATCCCAATCACACCATTATTTTTTAGTTCTAAAGCTGCACTTTGAAAATACAAATGTCAATGGCAAACAGGGAAATTATTATACTTCTACCCACCATGTTTCCATTTGAATTTTATGAATATTGCAAATTATATCACACTAGGACAGATGCATGAAAATTCGTGCAAGAGTAGGCCTTCCTTTTTCCAGCTGCCAGCACCAGCTTCCCTCTGGCCCCGGGTTCATCAGGAAGGACGTCTGGAATGACATCCGGAAGATGTCCTATCTAACTAGCATATTTACCTTTTATTATTATGGAAGATTATAACTTCTAAAGGGGATGATTTATAAAAGCAGTGTCCACCAATTATCAATTTTCTGACATTAATAAAGTGGCAAGAACTAATTATCATGATTTCTAAGAAGAAGATGCCTTGGACACATCATTACTATGTGGAAATGATGTTTTTAAAAATAGCAGCTTCTAATGATGACTGAAATGAGTTTAGGAAGCTGGCTGTAGAAAGGCCAATTACCTGAGGAGCTCCACAGTCTCGGAGTACATGGTATATGGAGACTTTGCTTCGAGGGGGTCACGCTCCATGGCATTGCCACATTCGGTGAAAGACAGGGCTGCATCAGCATAATTCACAGCTTTGCCAAATTTCTCGAACTAAAACAAGAAGAAGATTTAGTATTATGGTATTCTCTTCTCTCCTTCTTATAAAAGGAAGAGTTCTCAAACTAAGGCAGATTTTCACCCTTCCCTCATGGAACACTGGCAATGTCTAAAGACATTTTTAGTTGTTGCCTCTAGGGGAAGGAGGTGTCCAGTAGACAGCGGCCAGAGGTGTGAATAAACATTCCACAATGCACAGAGAAGCTTCCACAATGGAGAATTAGCCAGCCTAGCCAATGCAAAGGTTGAGAAACCCTGATATAGAATGCATGAATTTGTATTGACAAAACATAATTGATTTAAGATTCCATTGTCATCACACTGAAGCTGGTTAAGGAAAGAAAAGTAGCTAAGGTATCATATCTTTTGATAGACCAGAATCCAAATCACTGCTTTGACTAGTTTTTATTCCCTAAAATTACTAGACTGGTCATTGTAGTATCCTATAGACCTGCTTGCAATAAAACTGCTTTCTGAAAGCCTCAAAGAAAATTAACATACAGTCTTTGCTTAGAACTCTTTGTGAGCACATCAACCTCATATCCACAGAGAAGAATAACAAATTGATGGTATTGTCATGAAAATGTGAAGCTATAGTGTGACTGTTGACAATAACCACATCACTTTCATTGAAAATAATGGTCTGGAATAGGGTGTCAAAAAGCCAAGAAATATAGCATTACTAAATATTTCAGTTTAGTAAAATTTTATTACAAAAGGTTTTAGCCTTGATAATGGTCACCATTAAAGTGACTTAGACATACTGATTTCTTTTTTATGTGTAATGAATATTATATATGACATTTTTATAGTGAGTATTTTATAACAGTATTTAAAATTCATTTTTGATAGCTGGATATAAGAATTCCACTAATGCAGACTTTTGTGTAAAAGGGCCAATATAATACAGATTTAGCTATTTTAATTTTCTTGTATATCTTATCAAAATATTTTTATGCACCAGTACAGGTAGCAATTCTCAAAATGGCAGAGTAGCTGTCTCTAGCAAAGCATTAAGTACAACTATAAAATGATGAGTTAGAGGTCTTGCATAATTTCTTGTTGTAAATGACTCTTTACACAAAATGCTTTGCCACTTTTATGTATTGCAGGAATTCTGTGGTTTCATTTCTGTGAGATGCTTTGGAGACTATTGTTTTCAAGAAAATTCAAAGTGATTTTCTGAAAACCTATGTATATGCAAACTATCTTCTCTTGGCTTACAAAATAATCTCCTGAGGTCATCTGGCTCCAAATAGTTCTCCCATTTGGAAATTTATTTTTACATCTTGATTTTTGAAAATGTGATTTTATTCATAAATCCACAGCTGGAAGGATCCTTAAAGGTCTCTTATTCCTATTTTACCCTCTTTTCAAAAAGGTGAAACAGAAGTACAGGGAAATTTCAAAACCATAGTGACAGTTAGTGGTCAGATCATATCCCCTTCCTGGGCATCAATTCTCTATCTATAACATAACAAGCTTGAATTACCAGGGGACTTCCAACTTTAGAATAGATATAAGCCTAGCAAAGATACCATACTCTGAATGTTTCACAACTCCCCCTCCCTTTTTCCCCCCATTATAACCATCCCCAGATGGGGCTTGTTAAGATTTTTTTTCACACATTCCCATTAAAACCTTAATAACAATTATATCCTGATGATCACTTTATGTACTATGGTCCTTTGAAGGGACACAAACCATTGAAACATCTAAGACTGTTTCCCCTCACTCCCAAGAACCACTTTGGCTCCATGGGGACAGAATCTTCCTAATTGAAAATACATTGTGGTGAAAATGCAAAGATGGTTTAGGGGGAACATATAAACAGATCCTGGATGGCAGAGAATGATGCTTATTCTGAATCATATGTATATGTATTTCTGTGGCTCTGATTTTTCTGTTATTTTAACATTTGGTCACATGCGTGGTCTCACAGGTGTGTCCCAGTCTTCATCAGCTTATGGACCAGCTTGTCAAATAAATAGTTATGTGCTCCCTTGTCCTGATTTTGACAGAGGGCAAACTCCAGAGCCTTTATGCAGTGAATCAGTTGAGGACATTTAGGAAAAATAACTTTGGTCTTCAACCCAGCAGCATGGCCACCAATGTCACTCAAATCTCTCACCACACATACAATGGTCATAAGCACAGACTTTCCAGCATTTATAGTGGAGCTGACACTGGCCTGACTTGTTGCTTTCATATGCAGAAGCAGAGAACAAGTGTTTCCAATGGACAGTTAACACCACAGAAAGGTTAGCTGCAGACAATAGCTGAGCAATTTGGACCACAGTGAGAAAATGACAAAAAAAAAAAAAAAAAAAAAAAAAAAAAAAAAAAAGTAGAGAAACAGCAGATGCAAGTCCATGGACAATTGATGTTGACTACACATAAGTCATAGTGCAGAGACCGCCATGATACCTTCTTCCAGCCCTCCTAGTGTCAAACATTGGGACAGCTTAGTCCTGGCTGACACAATTTAATAATGGAGGATGATATTTTTTAACTCAGTGGGCTAACTAATATCTCTAGTTCTCTGAGGTTTAGTCAACAGTGAGGAGTCTGACATTAGGGCCTTTGCTAAAGCAATGGTTCTCTCAATCTTGGCTGAACTTGGGAATCACGTGGGGAGTTTTAATACCCATGTCCAGGTCCCAGCAGCAGGGCCTAGTGTCTTGGAAAATCCAGGTGACAGAACTTCTCTTTGTACAGAGTCCTAGCCTGGCTATGGGCCTCATTCTGGAAACACGTAATCAAATGCAGCAAGGAGCTAAGTTTTTTCTACACACCTGTTTTAAGACATCAATTTTTGAGGCCACTATATTAGCTCTCAATAACCCTCTTCCTTCCCATATTGGTTTCTGGTTTACCAGACCCAAAGATCCCCCAACCCCCTTCTCCAGAGCAATTTCAAAAGTCAGTTCAAATCCACTTGAAAGATAAGGCTAATAGTATATGCCATGTACCTACTGAAGTTAGGGCGAGGGAAATAACAATGAAAAAAACAAATACATGAGTGGCAGGGTATCACAGTACAAAAGAATCTGGGTATCACAGTGTTAATGAATTAACCAGGTCCAAACTCCCTATGTCAGAGCAGCAATGAGAAAGTTTGAATTGTTTATAAAGTGTCTTCTTTGTTTTCTTTTAAAGCATAATACCTTAATGGGAACAAAGCAATGAGAGGGAGCAAACCTACCAGTGCATCAGCTTTGTGCTTCAGCTTCTTAGCATCTTGCATGTAATAATCAGCATTGTGAACCCTAAACAAACAAAATAACCTCTTTCAGAAACCAATGGCTCATTTTTTCATTAAAAACTGAATAATCAAAACCATTTTTTTTACTATAAATTCATTCCTGTACAATGCCTTGAGAAAGGCAGATGAATGCTATCATTCATATAATAAATAACCTTGAAATAATTCTGTAAATGAAATTTGAAGTGCATAATGACCCATTAGAACTCTTTGTTGGTACACACTTCTATCTAAAAACATGAAAAAGAAAGGAGGACACAGAAACCTAGAATGAAGCAGCTGGCTTTGGAAACAGTAACAGAGATCTACAATTCAAATGAGCGAAAGACATTTCTTGGTTAGCATTGGAGTATGTGAGGAAGACAGATATACTTTTAAAGCTATAGGAACAATTGCTGGGGTCTTATTTTGGGTGACACATTGTATGGTGCTAAAAAGTCATACTACCACCACCCCCAATTCACAATTCCCAAACTGGGTCCATGATAATCTGGGGACAACATACGAGTCATCAAAAGTGAGTTTGGGTCTCCGGACACTGGTGGTGCTGGTGGAAAGAAGGGGCAGGACTGCCCAGGATGTCATCTCCAGGTGACTGCTACCCAATAGGCCAGTAGTGATGGTAGACATGGTGGTGGAAATGGTAGTGGTAGTGGTAGTGCTTGTGGTAGTAGCCGTGGCAGTAGCAGTGGCAGTGGCTATGACTGGGGTGGCAGTGGCAATAGCAGAGTTGGTGACAGTAACGGTTGCAGAGGTTGCCTTTTTTGGAGTGTCTCCCTCCTGTGGGAAAAAAAGGCAAATAACCTTCATTAGATTTAGCTTTTTCGAACATCTTTTCATAAATGATTTGAATGCCAAGCCCACTAAGAAACAAGACAAGGAAGGTCACGGAAGATGGTGGCTACACAGTACAATTTATATATCTTGTAACATATAAATCCACATCTGAAATCCATATGGTCTTATTAACCAATGTCACCCAATAAATTTAATAAAAATAACACAAAGGAAAAGAAAGTAATGGACAGAGCATGAGAATAAATAAGTGAACCTGGTATGTTTTATGAATTATGTGAATTATCAGACTTTGTTCTATGATGACACCAATCACCAAGCTAGTCAGGTTCTGGGATTATATAACCCCCTAATTTCATAAATACAGTCATTGGCAAAGGTCTGAATGTGGTAGGGAATGTGATGTAAGAGGAAAGGAATGAGGAATGTAGGAAGGGAAAGGGAGAAAGTAAAAAAAAGACGTGACCCTGATGTATATATTTTTTATAAGTAAACAAGCCCAGAAACTTTCACTTGGATAAATACTCAGGTCACTGCAAAATACAAGATTCAGTGGAGTCAAATACCAGCAAACCAGACATTTTATTTCAGTAGTCATTACCTTGGGACCAAGGCCTAAACAGCCTTTTCATTCACACAAGGAGCTTGACTGATTTCCAGCTGAGTGAATGCCACATGAATGCCTCCTCATTTTGAAGTCTAAGGATGGTGAACGTTCACTTTAAGGAAGTCAAAAAATCAATTGGGAAAGAGATTTCTGAGATTCACGTTGAGCTGTCATTGCCATAGAAACAATGTGATCTGACCCAGCTGGCATGGCTCAGTGGTTGAGCATCATCAACCTATGAACCAGGAGGTCATGGTTTAATTCCTGGTTAGAGCACATGCCTGGGTTGCAGGCTCTATCACTAGTATGGGGCATGTAGGAGGCAGCCAATCAATGATTCTCTCTCATCATTGATTTTTCTCTCTCTTTCTCTCCCTCTTCCTTCTTCTCTAAAATCAATAAAATTATATATTTTAAAAAATTTTAAAGATATAATGGGATCCGGATGAAGAAAGTAGGTTGTAAAATTTGTAATTATGTGACAGCATGTGTTCCAAGACTACCTGTTATGTTTATTCACATAGCAGACTCTCTACTCCCCACCTGGCAACTGAGGGAAGATCCTGACTGTTCTATATCTGACTATACTTGCCATAATGCCTCTTCCTCTTTCTGTTCTTCTGAGTTTGTATATACCGAAGCCTGATATCCTCCCCAAGGTCCATTCCTCAGCTCTCTTCTTTCTTGATCTTGACTAAATTTGACAATCCTACATGCACTGTCACAGATTTGATAATAAGCAGGTAACTCCTAAATGGAAACCTCAATGTTACCCTCTCTCCAAAGCTCCAGAGATATAGTGACCACGTTTGGATAGTTCCACCATGATAGCTCATTTGCACCTCAAATTTCTCTGAAGCAAAATTGATAACCAAATCAGATCACTCTTTCTATTAATTATAGGATGGCCTTCCCTATCACCAAGGCTGGATTTATCCATGTCAGTAAGAGTAGTGTGGCCATCTCTGGGCCAGGAGCATTGGAACTTATATATTCCCCACCTTGCCTTCAAATGAGCTACTCTGTTTCACTCCACTTTATATATTGAAATTCTGTAAATTAATTCATTTCAAGAAATGATAATGTTCCTAAAACTTTTTGTAAACCACTGTTCTATTTCATCTTTAATATCTTACTCTTCATTACCCTTATCCAAACAATTACAAATTAGTATTCCTTGCATCTCCCCAACATCTCTTAAATTTGTTCCTTTCTATTCTGAAGCCTCAAAGTGCAGGCCCTCATGCCTTCTGACCAAGACTATTAAATAGCTTCCTGACCAACTTCCAAACTCCAACCTTGCTTTTCCAATCCATTCACAATCAGCTGCCTGCTGGCCTGAACTTTTTAAACAAAGCTCCACACATTTCACTACTTTTTTGCACCCAAGTATACACTAAAGCTGAGTTCCTTTGCTGGCATGTAGGGTCATCCCTGATCATCTGCTACTACTCCCTCCCATGAACCTTCCACCAAACTAAACACATCCTGTTTTTTTTTTTGTTTTGTTTTGTTTTTTTGTTTTCCTGCTTTGCTTCATCTTGACTCTTAGCGTTGGAACCCCCCCCCCCCCCAAAAAAAGGAAAAGGAATAAAAAAACCTTTCCTTCATTACTTTTTTTAAACCTCCTGATAATTTACTCCATTTTTAATTTTTAAAATTATATATAACATCAAATTTGTCATCTTAACCATTTTAGATGTACAATTCAGTAGTGTTCGGTCCATTCACAGTGTTGTCTAAATCTCTAGGACTCTTTCATATTGCAAAAATGAAACTCTGTCCCCATTAAACTATAATTTCTCATTCTCCCCTCTCCCCAGCACCTGGCAACTTCCCTTCTATGTTCTGTATTTGCAAATTTGATTACTCTAGTTACCACACATAAGTGGAATCATGAAATATTTGTCTTTTAGTGACTGGCTTATTTCACTTAGCTAAGTTTCCTTAAGATTCATTCATGTTGTAACATGTTTTTCCTTTTTCCTTAAGACTGAATGTATTCCATTATATGGATATATCACATTTTGTGTAATCACTTCCCTCCATTTCTCAACTTTACTCATCTATTATAATCCAGCTTAAGAAACCTCTTCTCAAGAAAAACTGCCTTATGTCTATGGCCAGAAGTACCTTAATCCTCTGGTTCCATTAAGGGTCTCACTTAATCTCTTCTGTAGGGTACCAATCACTAGATATTTTGTATTCTACTTCTTTCAGTATGTTTCATAACTCACCTTAGAATGAGTGCTTTTTCTGCACTGGAATAATCTCTAATGTATGAATCTGCTACCCCAACCCACCCTGTCCACCTTGTCCCTCAACCCAGTGCTCCTAATTATTTGCTGAATGTCTGCCTAGTTAAAAGAGTCACTTTAAAGACAAAATCCAAATGTGATCCTTTCTTATAGTCTCGAAAGTTTATCTTTTCAGTTTGATCCTGGACCTTCTCTGATTGTCAAAAATTCTTACCACCAAGAGCTCAATGAGAGAAATGTGATGACAGGCTACGCATATAAAAATTATAATAATGGATATTTGAGAAAATAGTTTAAACATGATCATTTATCTTATTCAATCTAAGCACATTTTAAAAAATCAGTCTTCTAAAACTTCTAAGCCAACTCCATGTTTCTTCTGCCAGAGCCAGATGGCCTTTATCAAACAGTGGAGTCAGCCAAAGACAGTGCCACTGTCTCTATGGTCAAAATATGTGACAAGAACCTTCAAACACCGCATCCACCATGCACCTGGCATCATTGTCAGTCCTGACACATCTGATTGGATGGAAATTGCTGCATTCAGCCATGATGGAGTAAGTTATATTAATATGCCCTATGTCCATATATACTCATCCATTGAGTTAATAATTAAGACTTCATGCATAAATGAAAAAGACTCAGAGCACAAAATTGAAGAAGAGCCTTGTTGAGTAGGAAGAAGCTTTATAGATAATCTAGTCAAACACACTCATTTTATGGAGACTTCATAATTTGTCCAAGTTCATAAAGAAAAGTTGTTGCAGTGCTAACTCTATGTCAAGTCTCTTAACTCCAAGGTCAGGGCAAAAATACACCACAAACTCTCTACAGATTGCAAGTTATTAGTAGAAGGAATGGCCAAAGAAGAGATAGTTGGTGTTTCTTTCTATCATGGGATACCTCAGTGATTTCTTTAACAAAAATGATCAATTTATAAGTACAATTGTAATCATATTTATCATGTTTCCCTGTAGTTTTTTAGTTCTCATAGAAATGACTTGACAGATTCTTATAAGCAATACCATTTGTCATAAAAACATCTGTATTAAGCACCTAATTATTTGTGACAATATACTAGGCACTGTACCAAGTGAACTGACTAGACATTGCATATTCTATTAAAAAAATGAAATAGAAGAGAATATCAGTTAGAGTTTATAATATTAATTACATTCAATATGAAAAATAAGACTGTAGTGTAATTACTGTTTAGAATAGATGGTTTACTTCCTAACATTATAGGCAGCATTTTAAATATTAATATATTATGTGTGTATACATATATACACATGAGTTTCATATGGAACATGACAATTTAATTATAGAGCAATTTATATCAATGGTGAAACTTACATAGATATAAATGTCATATCAGTCATCTTAGATTATGGAAGACCTATAAGTCAGGGTTCTTATAGCTCCTGATTTATAGGCTTTTTGGTTTTCTATGGTTGTAAAATGGATACTCTTGGTTCAGAGTCTACCAGGATGGCACCAGACATTTTTATTTTTTTAAAGGCCAGTGGGAACATGCCACTCTTCTAGCCTGTGGTGTTCACCCACATGGCTTTGTGTTATTGTTTTTTAAAAAAAATATATTTTATTGATTTTTTACAGAGTAGAAGAGAGAGGGATAGAGAGTTAGAAACATCAATGAGAGAAAATCATCGATCAGCTGCCTCTTGCACACCCCCTACTGGGGATGTGCCCACAACCAAGGTACATGCCCTTGACCGGAATCAAACCTGGGACCTTCCAGTCCGCGGGCTGACGCCCTATCCACTGAGCAACCAGTTTTGGCGGCACCAGACATTTTAAGACTCATTGCATTTCACTCATTTGCTTTTTCTATGACATTTAAAGGAGACTAGATAAATATAGATGATACATCTGCATATACATGTATTTGCACGGAAAGGCAGATACATTTGTCATTAATATTTACTTATGGCACTCTTACTCATGGTTGCATAAGTTATGTACTTATATTTGGAAGAGATCAAAATATATTGTGTGTGGATGTAAAAAGTAATACACATTCTTAATTATCTATGCTAATTGAGCAGCTGTATAAAAAATCCAAAGGACTAGATAATCATTTAGTTTGGTTTAGAATCACAATTGTGTGATTTTTATCAACAAATTCACCATTTAAATCCCATCATTTTAGTCACTATTATTTATTTTTAATTATATTTATTTGGGTGACATTGGTTATTAAGATTATATAGATTTCAGTGGTCATTCCAATCTTACTACTCTGAACAGATTATTATGCAGAAACTCAGGATTTTAGGTGTCATTTGGCCCAAGCCTTTCATATCTTGGGAGTAGGGGACACTTCTAAAATACTGACCATAGCATCTGGTACATAGTAGGCAATGATCATTTAGTGAATGAATAAAAACAACAACAACAAATGGATGGAATGGGATTGCCCACAGTCACTAAAGTGGGACTAGAACTCGAAGTTATATCTTTCTACCATCCAACTTAGCAGGTATGAATGTACCAGATACTGTGGTCAGTATTTTGAAAGTGTTCCAACCCCCAATGTGAAAAGTTTGGACCAAAGGATGTCCAAGTCCCAAGTTTCTTCATAATATTCTTTTTGGAGAAGTAATACTGAAATGAAAAAAATTCATCCTAAATTAGAATAATTAAAATTTAAAATAATGGAGAGTTTGTGTATGTGTATTTAACACACTTACAGTTTCTCTCTGTCTCTGCCTCCTATCACCCTGCAACATCCCCATGTGGTCAAGTCTAGTTAGATGTCCTGGATCAACTTGTTTCTACATGATCATAGTATTTCTCCTAAGATGCTTACATTTACAGATATCCCCTTGAAAGTAGCACAGAATTTGCTTTCACTCCTCTTAGCTTTGGCAGAGGTGTACTGTCCAATCATCGGGATGTTTTTGTCTTGACTCAAGAGACCATTATTGCCACTGATGTTTCTGCGGTATGGAAGATCCTCTGGTGGTGGAGATAGTGAAGGAGGGAACAGCCTTTCTTCTTTTCTTCTATTTGCTCTCCTGGATGACTTATTTCTGTGTAAACAAAGAGTGTGGTATGTAATAAAATTTTGTTTGTCTTTATTCTGAATTTTCCTATGATGTTGGTACATTCAGCTGAAGTAATATTTTACTTAGTTGTGATGAAGATTATATGTAAAAACATATAGACATAGAAATCTATAGAGATATATCTCTCTATATAAATATAGCTATAACATATATATATAAAATAAACGTATGTCTTTGAAACAGAACTCTACAATAAATATGTATCTAATGCAGTGTGCTCCAGTGAGATATTTGTAATCTTTCAATATTGTTATTAATTAGCTTTTTAATGGAAAATCCAATGTATACTTTAACCTTCATTTTTACGATAGTTTCTACTTATTTGGCCTTAGGACTTAACTGCACAAACACACAATAAATAGTACAATAAACAATTAGTAGAAGTATATTTTATTAAGATACTAGAGGCCCACTGCATGAAATTCATGCACTCAAAGGGGTCCCTCAGCCTTGCAGGCAACCTCTCAGTCCGGGAGCCCTCAAGGGATGTCTGACTGCCAGTATTGGCCCACTCCCGGGGACACGGCCTACTGCTGCCAACGTGGGAGAGGCTCCTGCCACTTCTGCTGTGCTGGCCAGCCGTGAGGATGGCTTCTGGCTGAGCAGTGCTCCATGGGAGTGCATTTACCATCAGAGGGCAGCTCCTGCATTGAGTATCTGCCTCCTGGTGGTCAGTTCGCATCATTGTGACCAGTGGTTCCTCTGTTCGGTCAATTTTCATATTAGTATTTTATTATATAGGATATTATGCTTATACATTACTTAGAAATAAACAATGCACTAAATACTTTATTTTTTATTTTGTGCTATTAGCAAAGACAATTTTAAACTGTTTTTATAATTTATTTTATTAAAGATGTCCCTATTCCTCCCCCCTTTGTTCACCTCCACCCAACCCTCATCCCACTTTCCCTCTGGATATCACCACACTGTTGTCTATGTCTATGGGTTATTTAATATGTTCTTTGCACTAACTACTTTAGTGACATATTACAAATTGCATATTTAAAATGTTCTGTCCCAAAGCTAAAGCATAACAAGCCCCTCAGCTTAAGTTCTTATATTGAAGTACTGATGTACAGAACCAAACTTCATTTGGAAAATATTTTGTCATACTGCCACAAGACATCTGCAGTCCTAGAAGTACTCCTGTACATTCAAACTTATTTATCTGACTATTCAATGGGCACTAATAAATAGACTGTGACTTTAAATGTAATAAAGCAACTAAAACCTTATGCTAGCTGTTTAGCATGGTAACTGGGTCATAGATTATCATTTTAGGTTACTCTCTTAGACCAGTCAATGTAGATTACTTGAATTTTAATCTTTTCTTAGACAACTAATATTGCACTGTGCAGCCATTTACTTTTCATGCTTATTGACTACAATTTTCAATAGCAAATTAAGTCAATAAGGATTTATGTTTTCCTCTTGGTCAATTTTAGTCAGTGTTTAGAACTATAGATTTACAAAATTTCAAAGCCACAAATCAAAGATGAATGAGCATTAAAATGGTTTGGTTTTCTAAAATGATAGAAGTTAATGTAATCTTCTTGTTCTACTTCATCTGTGTTGCCCCAAACTGTCATCTTATCCATCTTTTGTTTCATAATGTGGCCCTATATCCATTCTTGTTTTGAGGCAAAACATTTAAAAATTTAACTGTTTTTACCATTAATGTAATTTTTTAAAATTAATAAAAACATTTACCAATAACCTTGCTGGTGTGGCTCAGTGGTTGAGCATTGACCCATATACCATGAGGTCACCAGTTCAATTCTTGGTCAGGGCACATGCCCGGTTTGTGGGCTTGATCCCTAAAAGTGGATGTATAACAGGCAGCCAATTGATGTTGATATTTGTCTCTTGTTGATGTTTCTACTTCTCTTTCCCTCTCCATTCCTCTCTCTCTAAAATAAATAAGAACAGCCCTGACTGGTTTGTTCCAGTGGATAGAGCATCGGCCTGCAGACTGAAGGGTCCCAGGTTCAATTCTGGTCAAGGGCATGTACCTTGTTTGTGGGCATACCCCCAGTAAGGGATGTGCAGAAGGCAGCTAATCCATGTTTCTCTCTCATTGATATTTCTAACTCTCTATCCCTTTCCCTTCCTCTCTGTAAAAAATCAATAAAATATATATTTTAAAAAATAAAATAAAATAAATAAGAACATATTAAAAACAATATTTGCCAATGGATTTTTAAAGTTGCATTGATGTATAGAACAATTTTAAGTTGTGATGCCTGATCAAAATAATGATGACCATAAGGATTAAAATTTGTGTTAATGAGGAAGCCCCACAATTATCAGCATGAAAGTATAATCATTTCAGAGGCATCAAGCTTTTGGGAATTTATGTAGAAAGATGTTAAATATTAGCATCTGTTTAAATTTTTAAGCTATGGCATCTTTAGGAGATGAATAGTTCAGTAGCCATTGGATACTACAGTCATACTAGGCCTTACAATCTGCCGTTGTACATAGTATATTACATACTGCACAGTACATTCTGTGCAGTGGGAACCAGTCACTTGGCCCCCTTTCCATCTATTTGGTAATGATCTAGAATCATGGAGCCTTTAATAACTTTACTAGTAAAAAAATACCCAGGGCACATTTGCAAGAGAGCACTCAGTCACCATTATAGCTTCTTAATACAAGAACAATTTAGCTACTTTCTGCACCTTGTAGAGTGCTAGAGTAGGACATAAGACAAGAGAAGTATATTCCTACCCCCAACGTAATGTCTCATAGGCCTTGCTGATGGTTCATATTCCAAAGACTTGGGGAGGAATTTAGCAGGTCTCTATCTGTCTGAAGTGGTTTCTTTGATAGGTTTAGAGTATTCATTTATAAGAGTGAATGTGGCCTGATATAAATTTTAAGAATTTAGCTTGAAGGGTCAACAAAGCAGAAATGAGTAGACAAAGCTTAAGGAGAGGTTCCCAGGATAAGATCTCTTAGAGGCCAGTCAATGTTTCTTGCTCTCTCAACTTGAGATTTTTTTGCAGACTTGAATTTTTTTGCTTAAGCATGAGAACCTGACTCAGGCCCTCCTAAATGAGAAATGCAACTAGATAAACACTACTTTCCTAGATAAAACCAAAGCAGAAAGAACATAATGATCATTATTAAAAGCATAATTTTATGAGAACATTCAAATTATTACACATTTACTTAATATGTGAACATCTCTCTTCTATTAAATGGTAAGAGTGACAGGTCATTGGGTTGCTTATGGAGACAAGCAATTGGAACTGATGGTGTGGCAATTCCCCACTGCTCCTTGCCTTTTCTTTTTGCCTTTGAGTGGCCTGAACTGGTCAAAACCTGGGAACTGCTATTGTAGTCGTTCCTCCTTGGAAAGGAAGAAGGCCCTAGGATGACCAAGTTTGACCACTGGAGAAGAAGCATGTTTCCCTCATATGCCTGGCCCACCCTGGTGTGGAGAGCATCAGCTCGTTCTACTGTAAGAGGTTCTAGTTATGAGAACTCCAAGTATAATATTTGAAAAGATGTTTCAGATCAAAGTTACGACAGAGAATACAGTCACACTTCACAAAGAGCTTCAGATCTTCAGGGCGGGGGCAGCCCAGGGCCCAAATCGCCTTATTATATTGAGCGAATCTAGTGATAATTGTTCTTTTCCTAGTTTCATCTCAAATCAATAAGGTTCCAATCAAATGAAAATCTAGAATTTATTTCTGACATGTTATTTGTGGCAGATTAATGCCATATCACTGATGTTAAACAATAATCTGTGAAATCAATTGTTAGCAGCAATTAGCCAGATTGCCTCTATTCTCTGGGCTGCTAATAGGATCAAAGACTGGTCTTTGATGGAAGTAATCACTAATGTTGAATGAATTTATGGCAATAATTATCCAGATGGAATGGTTCCAGTAACTGACATGATTGTTAGTTAAATGATATTTATAAGACAGAAGAACACAGTCACCATGTGTGGTAGAAACAGAGAGGGCAGGACTTCTCTAGGAAAGGCTGGGCTGCTCGAGTGAGGAGAAAATATGGAGAACCTCCTTCCTGACTCTGGAACCTTCCACAAAAAGGGATAAAGGTAAAGAGGTGCCAGCTGATTGGAATTAACCTATTGATTCCTAGCTTGCTTTCTCCAACACAGAACTGCCTAAGGGAGGGTCATTCCCAAATAGGTTATCACTCTGGCCTTCCAGACATGTCATTTTCCTGACCTCTGAGGAGTTTGAGATATAGCTACTCTAAAGCTTCGTTTTAAGGTTAAATAATGACATCACAGAAGAAGCAACGGCTGGGTCATCCTGTCAAGCCCAAGGGGTTGCTTTTCAGGGAAACTGTTTATTCACCATCAAAAATAGAGGTGTGAGTGTCAGGCAACATGGTTAAAGCAATAGGTGTTGTTTGATATTGCACATTTTTATTTTATTTACTTCTTTTTTCCCCTTCACTTAGTGCTAAAAGTTCACATTGGCTAATTTTGGTAATCAATGTAAGTTAAAGAAATGTTGTTAAAAAGCTCATGGTGTTAGCAGCACAATCTACAATAGCTGGGATTTGGAAACAGCATGTTGCTTCTTCTCTGGGATTTTTTCTTAGGTGCCCGTCAGCAGATGATTGGATAAAAAAAACTATGGTATATCTACACAATGGAATACTATGCTGCCATAAAAAAGAAGGAATTCTCATCATTTGTAGCAACCTAAATGGAATTGGAGAACATCATGCTGAGTAAAATAAGCCAGTCAATGAAAGAGAAACACCACATGACCTCACTCATTTATGGATAATAAAGAACATTATAAACTGATGAACCAAAAGATAGATATAGAGACAGTAAAACAACAAGCCGACTGTCAAATTACTGCGGGGAGGGGAGGGAGATCTGGGTGAGATAAGAGATCAACCTAAGGACTTGTATACATGCATATAAGTACAACCAATGGACACAAAACTCTGGGAAGGGTGGGTATGTATGGGGGGCAATGGTAAAATATGTACAAAGATAATAATTCAATAAAAAAAAAGAACTTTCGTATCTTCATAGGAAGCATCAAATAAATAAATAAATAATTCACAATGGCAAAAAACAAAACAAAAACAAAAACTCATAGTGTTACCCTAAGCTGGCAGTCTATATTCTGCTGCTTAGCCTAATCTTGTAAAACCAGGAACAGCTGTCAAGATGGACTTAGAAATTCTTGAATTTTACGTAACATTTCTCTGTGACAAAACCTCCCCAAAGGTTTTTTTGTTGTTGTTTGTTTGTTTGTTGTTGTTTTTTTGAGTCTGAATAATTGAAGTATCACACAAAGACAGGGAAAACTCACTCTTTAGTGTAAGAAGGCTTGTGGGTTGGGGCTGGTGAGATGCAAGGGGGTAGCAGGCAGATGGTGGTGTCCTCCTCCAGACGTTGCTTCTTCTCTGGGATTTTTTCTGCAACTTCTGTTGGCTTTAATAGGGAAAAATGCACAGTTTAAAATAAATACCACATGTAGACTTTTAAAAATAATGAGCAAGCTAGACGGTTTGTTTCTCTTTTACCTTCTAGATTAAATAGGGAGGTTAAATATGCACCTTTGATCAAAGAGAAAAGCAATTAGCCTTGCCTAGTCTACTTCTAATAAAACTTGGAACTTTTAAATTGACTTTTAGAAAGAAGAAGGGAGGGAGGGAGAGAAGGAGGGAGGGAAGGAGGGAGGATGGAGGGAAAGGGGAGAAAAAGGGGAGAGAGAGAGAGAGAGAGAGAGAGAGAGAGAGAGAGAGAGAGAGAGAGAGAGAGAGAAATAGTTCAGTTGTCTCTTCACCTTCTGATCTATGACATGACACTTCAACAACAAACTTTATTACATCAGCCAGGGCCAAAACTTGGAATGTAAGATACTTGGAGCTGTGATGTGAACCTCTGATTAGAGATTGAAATCTCATACCAAAAGTAAAGATAATGTATACTTTTCAGATACTTCTCCTATCAATAAATGAACAATTTAGGAACTAAGAAACTCTAACATGGCATAAATGATGTCCAAGCAATATAGATTGTGAATAACATATAAAGGACACTAATACAATCAACAATATTCAATGAAATTAACTTTGTACATGGCACACCTTGTGAAGCTGTATTTTTATCCCTGGTTGTACTGTTGTCCTCACTAAGAGTGGGGACACAGTAATAGGGCAAGGGCCACAGACTTTGGTTCCTATTTTGGAATAATCTCATTGGATAATTTGGTGCACAGCTCAAAGTTAATACTTTCTGTTTTTGAATCAATAATCCTGATATATAAAAACCCTGAGTCCGCAATGACTGGGAGGCTTGACCAACCTGAAGTCAGTCCTGCAGTCAGCACTGGGTTGCCATGGGGACCCAGCACTGACTGCTATGGCTGAAGGCACGGTGACCCAGCCCTGACTCTGAAGGGGCTGTGAATCAAGCTCAGAGAGAGGCCTGAAGAGAGAATCAGGGTCTGATCTGTTAATCAGCACTTGCCTCTCTCTTTAGCTCTGGGTCTGGTCAGCAGCTGCACCTGCATTACTCTCCAGGCCTCCATCTGGGCTGCTGATCAGCCCTTCCTTTCTGATCAGGCCCCATTGATAGGCCCAGACACGCTGACTGACATAGAATCCGACCAATCAGAACAAAAATCTGGGTCAACTTTGAGGAGCCAATGGCTGCCTAGGAGGCAGAACTTTTGATGCTGACTGGCATAAAAACTGACCAGTCAGAACCAAATCTGGTTCAACTGTGAGGAGGTAATGGCTTCCTAGAAGATGGAGCTTTTGATGCTGTCTGGCATAGAAACTGTCGAATTCAGAACCAAATTGGCCAGCAGAGGAGGGCAGTTGGGGGCAAGATCAGGCTGGCAGGGGAGGGCTGTTGGGAGTGAGATCAGGCTGACAGGGGAGGGCAGTTGGGAGAATTGGGCTGACAGGAGAGCAGTTAGGTGTTAATCAGGCTGGCAGGGGAGCAGTTAGGGGATGATCAGGCTGGCAGGCAGAAGCCATTAGGGGCAATCAGGCAGGCAGGCAAGTGGTTAGGAGCCAGAATTCCCAGATTGTAATATCCCCCACGGGGTCCCAGATTAGAGAGGGTGCAGGCTGGGCTGAGGAACACCCTCCAGTGCATGAATTTTGTGCACTGGACCTCTAGTGCTAAATGAAAACTTAAATCACTTTTCAGCAGTATGTCTTGGCCCTAGGCACCCTGTTTCCCTGAAAATAAGACAGTGTCTTATATTAATTTTTTTCTCCCAAAGTTTCGCTAGGTCTTATTTTCAGGGGATGTCTTATCTTTTTATGCGCTAGGTCTTATTTTTGGAGGATGTCTTATTTTCGGGGAAACACGGTAGTACTGTTCACTAATTAAGAATCTAAGCCATTTCTGTTCATTCTTAAGTCTCTTCTGGGAAGGGACAGAAGAAATGAGGTAATAATTAGATACCTTCTCTCTAGCCACTGTGGCAGCCATTAAACATATTACCCAAATCTCACAAGATGTTGTTACTCAAAAACTACCATGTCTGGGTCTATAACAGAATTAATCTATTACATACAAACTCACTTCCCTAGATGTAGTTGACATCATTGTGCATTTCAACTTCTGATTATAATTTTTAGCCTTGGAATTCAGCCCTAACCATATGCAGGCAAGATTTTTCGAGATCAAGTCAAGCCAACCACACAAGATAGTGGACCCATTGAACTTGGCAGAACATATGTCTAGTAAGAGTCAAAATAATCAAAATGTAATCAAAGTGGGTTATGGGGGTGCTAATGCTTGTTAACATAAATTAAGAGGCCTAGAGGATACCTTTTGAACTTAGAAACACTTGAGTTCCCTGATGCTGCTGGAGTGGATGGCTGTAGAGTAATGACCCATGAATCCATGAAAGCAGGAGCTGCTTAAGGAGCTGACCCCAGGGACTGACAGCCTAGGGAAGGAGTCTCTCTTCATATTCTTCTTTCCTACATGTAACATATTGGGTCCCTCATGTAACATATTTTATACTCTTGACATTGGCTTCCCAACTCTGATATTTTCTAACACTTCCTCCCTGGTCATGTCAAATATGGCATTTCACATGGAAAGAACCATTGCCTTCACCAAAGACTGCAATCCACTGCCACTGGCATTCTTAAAATTCAGACTCAAGATCAAGTTAATCAAAGGACAGCCACTGTTCATGGTAACTTGGCAGACCACATTAAAAAGCTTACCTTGTGCTTCCTCTTGCCCTTAAGTGTGGGTTTTTCCACAGCTGTGGTTGCAATCTGACGCCTGGGTTTTGAGGAAGCCTCTTTGTAGTCTGGCTTGGCTGGTGCTGCTTGGAGTGAGTTGTGGCCAGGTACTCTAGATAGTAAGTCAAGGTCAATCTTTACCCAGAGATTTTTTGGCTTTTCCTGCTCTCTTAGCGGAGATAGAACCTCAGTTTGCATTACAGGGATGGATGAAAAAGTTGGCTCCTCATTATTGATGGATAAATTGTTATTGTTGCTGCTGTTTAGGATGCTGAGGATCAGGTTACCACCACAAGTTTCCTTGGATTTGGCAAAATTGCCCCCAGTAGCAGTACAAGGAGGCAGGACTTTGATCTGTACAGTTTCTTCCTGATCTGTGTTGGAATCAGACGTAGACGAATCTGTTTCAATGAATTCCCGGGACTTTGGTACGATTTTCCCAGCCCCTCTATATTTCTTCTTCTCTGAAGCCAATGGGATGTTAAGCCTTGGTTCTTTCCTAGGGATTGGTTTGTTGACAGTGGCTTTGTTGCGGCTTCTTGGTGGGCCAGGAAGCTCCACACTTCCTTTTTCTTTGGGAGTGCTGCTGGTAATATTTGGTTTGGGCCAGGTCAACTCATCAATGCCAGTGTTCTTCTCAAACTTTTTGGGCTGTTTTTTCCCAATTGTCCTTTGAGAAGATGTCTCAATAGTTTCTGACAACTTATGCTTCAAAGCCTTTGTTTCTAGAGTTTTCTGGAAAGGCCGTGGACGGGCTTTCTCCCTGATGAGACTGAGGAGAGGCCTCTCTTTGGGTTCTGCCAGGATCTGGTTGGGGGTTGTTTTCACTTTGACCTGGACTTCCATTGGTTGGATGGTTGGAGGAGGCACAGAAATTGTTTCCATGGGTGTCTCATTTTGGCCACAAATAAATGATTTGTTCTGGGACGTCACTTTGTTAAGCCACTTATCCAACTGCCACTTGTTGGTTGAGGGCGGCTCAGGCTACAGATTGAGAAACAGCAGCAATAATCAATTTCTCATCTGGGAAAGGTTCAGGAGGACCCTCAGTACACTGACTTCTGGTAAAAGCTTTGGATGTTAAGTGACCATTCACACATTTACAAACACACACACACACACACACACACACACACACACACACACACACACACAGAATCCACATTAATCAAATTACCCAGTGAGCCAAATACACCACAAATCAGCCCTGATCTTCTAAGTTAAACTAATTTCCATTCTTTTGAAAATATTCTCTACTCTGGCAAGGAATGAAAGACTTATTCACAGAGGTTTTTTTTGTTTTGTTTTTTTTTTGTTTGTTTGTTTGTTCTTGTTTGTTTGTTTGTTTTAGTATGTAGGGATTCCTGCGGTAGAGGGGAAACCTTTTTCCCAAATCCTTTGGTGAGAGTCATTACTTAACCTATTACCCGGAGGCAGAGGTAATGATCTCTGGTCCTGAAAATAAATGTAAGCATGCCTCAAGAATAATTTAAAAGAAAAGACTTTCTATCTTCCAAAGTGCCAATGCCTCCTATATGATGCTATCATCATATGCCTCCTATATGATGCTATCACTATAGGAGTGGATTGAAAAAAAAAAAGTAGGTGTTTTGTAGTTTTACTGAAGGCTGAAAATATTTGACTTCTGAAAAACACTGCACTGTAGAGAGCCTCTTGAGAAGGCACATGGACATTCTTTTAATTCTTATCAGCTGAGCCCGAGGGCACTGATGAATCCTGTTATCAGTACTGATTTCTTAATCCATGTGCTTGGAATGAGGAACAAATAGGACCTTGACTCACCCAAGTCTTGATATGCTAAATCTTGTACCAAAAAATAAGTAGCTTACCCAGATTTTGATGAATAGGATCTGAGCACACCCGAAACTCATTTTGACCTTAAACTCCCCCTTGGAAGCCAATAAATATGCTGTGTTGTCTGTGGTGAGTGTGACTGTCTCTCCATCAGAGAGATGGCACCCACCTAGCTCCCAGGTTTATAAATCTATTTCTGCCTCTTGTCTCTTTCTTTCTCTACTTTCTTAATCTCAAACTCCTCCTCTCAGGAACATTTTTCCATGCAAGACGCGGAAAAAGGAGAAACACCACACTGCACTTCCTTGGTGTATGGAGACATGCATGCCAACATTAGTGTCCACTGTTAAGCCATGGAAATAATGCATATAATTCATATGTTTGATTCCTAACTCTGAATTCTCCTGTTTAAATAAAAGAACCATCCTTTTTATTAGAATTGCTCTTCTTTTGAAAGATGATGTGCCAGCACTGTGAGGAACTCTTGATTTGAATTTACTCATTTCATACTAATAACACCCCTATGAAGTCCTTGGTATTATTATCCCCATTTTACATATGAAAGAATAAGGGCCTGGGAGCTTAACAGATAACTTTCCCAATATATAACATATAAAGTGATAGTAGAGCCAGGCCTGAAACAAGGATATATATATTAATAGAACTGGTGCCCTAATGCCAGAGCTATGCTGCCAACAGTGGCAGCCAATAAGATTTTTTGGGCCCTTATTTGCCATTGCCCTGTGTAGGCTGGAATCACAGCTACTAAAATGTTTTTAATTCTATCACCCTGTATTGGCTGATACCATAAGCATCAGCTGATGTATTTCAAAAGAAGAGCACTTCTTATGTATTAATTGCCAAGTGGCAATTCATTGGATCAACCCAGAGTAAGGCATGGTGTCCCCAGGGCCAGAAATGGGTCTTGGCTGGCTTCACTGGTTCTCTAGAAAGAGAAGTTGCTAACCCAGTTATTACTGTTGCAGTTTACATGTGAGGAATGTTTAAGGTTCAAAGTAACTGAGTCATACAAATCAGTCACCCAGCTAGCATCTGCCTATTAGAGACTCTGTGAATATATATTTTAGAGGGGAACATATTATCAAATACCTGAATACTTTTATGAAGTATTTATTGTGCTAAAATAATTACTGCGCTGAAAGTGTGAGTGCATGTCTGGGTATTTAGAGTGCTGCCTTGGTGACTGGCAAGACAGGCAAATTGTGGTTGGGGCATTTGTCACTTTACCTACCTCTGGTGTTGCCACAGGAGGCAAATCACTGGATTCACTGTCCGTGGTGCTGCTTTCAGTGTCTGAATCTGACTCTGAGCTGCTCTCTGAGTCACTGGAGCTGCCAGATCCCCCACTGGCTTGCACTGCAGGTGGGGGCTGAGGGTTGGCCAAGGTTGAGCTGAAAGAAAAATGACATCATTCATTGCCTTTCTCAGTCTCAAAACACCAGAAAGAGTCCAGCTCAGCGTAAGGACCTATGATTTGTGAGATACAGGCAAAGTGGAGCATTAAGTCCCATTTCACAGATGGGAAATATGAAGCTCAATGAGGGGCCCATGGTCAAAGGTTTCATTAGAACCATGCTCTGTGTGTCCAAGTTCCCTGGGTTCCATAACACTGCCTTCTCTCTCCAATAAATCTTGTGTCCCTTACTCTACATGCAAACCTAAAGCCAATGTTGCAGGGAGATAGATACTAATGTAATGTACAGCCTTAGATTCTTGTGTGTGTGTGTGTGTGTGTGTGTGTGTGTGTGTGTGTGTGTCCTTATACTTTTATTTAATTATTTATTTTAAAATTATTTTTGTTGTTGAAAGTATTACAGATGTCCCCCTTCCCCCCCCCATTGACCCCTCCTCCCTCCTCCTGCCCTGCCCCTTGGTCCCATTTTTTCCAATTAAGATAATTTTCATTTTCTATTGATATTTGTTCTTCAGAAACCCATAGGTTTGTCAAGGGACTCTGATTTTAGCTATACACATCGTGTATTCTTCTCATCAAGAAGAGGTGAATTCAATCCTCATTTTAATGACAGTAAACAGATCCAGAGAGTGGATTGCCTCTGATTCAGCTAGTTAGAAAAGTGAGACTAGAATCATAGCCTCCCAGTTCCTTCAAAGGGTAGAGGCTGTGTAAAGCATATTTACTGCTGGGTGTCCAATACCCAGCACTTAGCATCACGGTGACCATAGTTAATTGTATGAATAAGGAAACGAGAGGATGCAGTTCTTGGTCTCCTCCACCACAATATTTTGTAAACTCTGTAAAACTCTTATAAGGAGGGATGACCATAAATGACTAACCATTTCTAATGATTGATTTTACATTTGTAAAGCTAAGCAAAACATTTGAAAGTTGATACCATTTGCTACTCTGCCTTTATCGACAACCAATATTCTTCCTAAGTAATCATTTGCTATTTGTATCCCATAACAAAGCAACCTCAGCTTCCTCTTGCTCTGCGGGGGTAAGTAATCACCTTTTTCTCCTTTTACTAATTATCTATTTGGACCAAGTTTTATCTGCTTTCACTCAGAAATGGGGATCTAAAGTTGGAGGAGGTTTCTCATCTCTCTGTCTCACCAGCCCAATCTCCTTTTTGTTAATCATGGTGAAAGGTGGGTTGGGAAAAGATATAAGTGTAACAGTAGAGGATATTCACTGATGTGCAGGGGATGGTCCATAGATCTACCTGGATGTCAATATAAGAATATTAGTGCCTCTAACACTCCCAGCTTCTTCCTGCTCTTTCCTACTCAGATCAGTCAAGAGAATCCATACTTGCTTCTGGAGGGTACCTGGTCATGTGGCCCCACCCTCAATCTTGAGAAAGATGGACCCCAAGGACCTCTCTGTTCAACATTCTATAAGAACGAAGCATTATTATTTGCCTTCCCCCACCTCACAACCTTATGGGAGCCTATTCTTCTTCAACATTACAGCTCTTGCCCACTGAGCTGAATCCATATTAAACTGCTGCTTGGGAAGGAACAGGATCCCTTGTAAGTCAACATGGACTTCTCATCAGACACTATAAATTCAGATAGCATTTTCATTACATGTGTCTTGTGTTCCTAAAGATTCTTTAGTCTACCAGATAGGCATTTTCATTATTTTTGAAAATTTATTTTATACTAGAGGCCCAATGCACAAAATCCATGCAAGGGGCTTGCCCCTTACAGCCATGGCAGCTTGCTTCCATCCTTGCAGCCCCAGCTTCATCCTAAAGGTTGTCTGAAAGGTCATTTGGCTGTCCAGCCTAATTAGCATATTACTCATTTATTAGTTTAGATTATTTAAATTTTTATTAAAAGTTTTAATGTTGACATTATTGTAGGTATATCCCCTTTTCTCTCCCTTTTCCACCGCCCCCCTTTGGCTTTTACCAAACTATTGTCTGTATCCATGGAGTATACATATATGTTCTTTAGCTAACCACTTTGCCTTCTTTATCCATTTACCCCTAACCCTCTCCCCTCAGGCACCAGTTAGTTTGTTTCATGTGTCCACATTTCTAGTGCCATTTTATTTGTCAGAACATTTTTTTTCATTAGATTCCACATGTTAGTGATATCATATGGTATTTGTCTTTCTCTGACTGGATTATTTTGCTTAGCATAGTACTCTCCACGTCCATTAATGCTGTCACAAAAGGTAAGAGTTCCTTCTTTTTTTTAGCCACAAATGTTTTCACTGTGTAAATGTACCGTATCTGTTGTATCCATTCATCTTCTAATGGGGACTCAATATTTTATTTCATATAGAAAAAGCTCATTTTATTTTTTATTGTTTATATTGTTTTATTTCTATTTATTTTTTAAAGTATTATAGATAGTAGTACTTATATCTCCTTTTCTCCCCATTGACCTTCCCCCAGTCTTCTCTACCCCATTTCATGCCTTAGACCCCTGCCCCAGTGTCTTATGTCCATTGGTTGTGCTTACATGCATGCATACAAATCCCTTGGTTGATCTCTTTCCCCTTCCTCAACATTCCCCAGCCTGCCTGCTGTAATTTGACAGTCTTCTCAATGCTTTACTGCCTCTGTATCTATCTTTTTGTTTATCAGGTTATAATGTTCCTTATTTTCCATAAATGAGTGAGATCATGTGGTATTTTCCTTTCATTTCCTGGCTTATTTCACTTAATGTAATGCTCTCCAGGTCCATCCATGCTGCTGCAAATGGTAAGAATTCCTACTTTTTTATAGCAGAGTAGTATTCCATTGTGTAGATGTACCACAATTTTCTAATCTAAATCTACTCATTTACTGATGGGCATTTAGGCTGTTTCCAAATCTTTGTTATGGTGAATTGTGCTGCTATGAAAATAGGAGTGTATATATCCTTTCTGATTGGTGTTTCTAGTTTCTTGGGATATATTCCTAAATGTGGGATTACTGGGTCAAATAGGAGTTCCATTTTTTGTTTTTTGAGGAAACTCCATACTGTTCTCCACAGTGGCTGCACCAGTCTGCATTCCCACCAGCAGTGCACAGGGTTCCTTTTTCTCTGCATCCTTGCCAACACTTGTTTGTTGATTTGTTGATGATTGCCATTCTGAAAGGTGTGAGATAGTACTGCATTGTCATTTTAATATGCATATCTCAGATAATTAGTGACTTTGAGCTTGTTTTCATTTCTTTTATTGTTTAAAGTATTTCCAATTGTAGTACATATGTCTCCTTTTCCCCCCCATTGACCTTCCCCCACAAAAGCTCATTTTATAAATGTTGTCTTCTAAGTAAATTCTATCTTCAAGTATATTCCTCTGCCAAATATACCAAGAGATTAGGAGTAGCAGAAGAAATAGGGGGATATATTTACTGGTAAAATGTCTGTGCATGTTTGTCTGTGTGCATTTGTGTCTCTGTGTCCAACAGTTTAAAATACAGCACAGAGCATCAGCAATACTGAGACTACTAGACAGTGGATTGAAATATAAGATATAATTTATACTTACTTTTTATTTTCAAATTAAAAAAATTGTTTCCTAGTTTTCTTTCATATATATACATTAATTCTTGACTTTTAAAAAGACTCTGATCATCCTAATATCACCAAACTATAGTCTAGGTTTTCTTTGAAATATTTCTGGATAGAGTTTCCATTTGCTGGATCACTTTTGAGAAATTTCTATAAGAAACAAAATAATCTCAAGGATTATTCCTTCAAAACAAAATGCATTGAGGAAATATACACAAAACACAGTGTTTTATTTACCAGAATGTACTTATTCCTCAGCTAAATAAAAATAAAAGCATTGCTGGCTTAGTAGACACTTGTATGTGTCTGCTTTTGTACAGGGGTTCCTTATCTAAAGCCCCTGTGGAGTGCATATTAATTTTGATGTTCAGATTGTTTTTAATTTTTTTAAAGTCTGGGGGGGAGCGCTGGGGGGGGGAGGTCTTTCAGCCCAGCCTGGGACCCCTTGAGGGATAGCTGGGATATCAGACTTCTCCAGTATTGTTGCTCCCAACTGCTCGCCTGCCTGCCTTCCTGATTGTCCCTAAACACTTTTGCCTGCCAGCCTAATCACCCCCTAACCACTTTCCTGCCAGCCTGTTTGCCCCTAACTGCCCTTCCCTGCAGGCCAGATCACCTCTAACTGCCCTCCCCTGCAGGCCTAGTCTCCTCCAATTACTCTCTCCTACAGGCTTGGGTCCCTCCCAAGTGCCTTTCCCTGCAGGCCTGGTCGCCCCCAACTTTCTTCCTCTGCTGGCTTGGTCACCCCTAACTGCCCTCCCTTGCAGGCCTGGTCCCTCCCAACTGCCCTCCCCTGCTGGCCATCTTGTATCTACATGGGGCGGGGGGAGGATCTTTGACCACATGGGGGCAGCCATCTTATGTTTTGGAGTGATGGTCAATCTGCATATTACTCTTTGATTAGATAGGATAGAGGCTTGGTACACGGGTGGGGGCCAGCTGGTTTGCCCTGAAGGATGTCCCGGATCAGGGTGGGGGTTCCCTTCAGGCTTGGGGTGGTCTGGGTGAGGGGCCTGTGGTGATTTGCAGGCCAGCTACGAATCCTGTCAACCCAATCTAAGACCCTGATATCTGGTGATTATTTATCTTCTACAATTGAAACTTTGTAGCCTGGAGAGGAGCCAAGCCTTCTGCTTGCTCCTTGGCTGCCACCATTTTGGTTGGGGTTTATGTATCTTCTGTTATTGAAACTTTGTAGCCTTAAATGAAGGCCTGGGCCAGCCAGGGTGTGTGGCAAGCTTGGCTTCTTCCATTGCCAGGAAAACCCAAGCCACCCTCCTGCTCCCTATGGCCCTAGCCATCTTGGTTGGGTTTATTTGCATATCCACTCCTGATTGGCTGGTGGGCGTGACTAATGGGTGTAGCAGGTGATGGTTAATTTGCATATCACTCTTTTATTAGCAGGTGATGGTTA